ACTTTTACAAAATTATAATTTCATCCTAAGTTTACCACTCCATCTGCTTAACTGTGTCTTCTTGTACACACTTATTGCACTTCACATGACTCACGAAATAGTAATGACACGATTGCAAACAAGCCATACCACGGGCGGGGATAGAACTCGCGGGTTCTATCCCCACCTGTGATATGGTTTGCACTTCACATTCCTCTGTATCTTTTATTTTGAATATATTTTTTTGGGGGGGGGGTAACCTACGCGCATGTTACTATGTTTGGTCCTTTGGATAAGTTATATATGTAACCCAGAAACATCATTGGTGCCAGTTAGGGATGGGACGGTTACCATTTTTTTCTGATACTGATGCTCAGTTTAAGGCCGATACAAATACCGATACCACCAAAATTGGCTGACACCCACCGATACCACCAAAATTGGCTGACACCGATACCACCAAAAATAGCCGATACCAGTTGTGATACTTGTTCCACTTCCCTTGTAACATTTTTGCATGACCACATTTTTTTCTATTATCACCGTTCTCATTTTTTCTCCGATAAAAGATTGTCCATACATTGTACAAGTTTGTTTTGTATCCCACAATATGTTGCAGTTTCCATATTGGTCATTCATGAAGGATTCTGTCAAGGATCTTTTCTGAAATACAAATGAATCTGATATGCCTCTTTACTTTTTTGCCGGATTTAATGCTATGTATGGTTAATTTAGGTTGGGTCAGGTTTGTCAGGAAACATGAGAAGTGTTTCCTGACGCGGGTCTTAGGCATATGATGACCAGCAGCTGGAGCTTTTGGTGATCTGACAGAGGCCTTCCACTGGCTTACCGGTCCACCCTGTTTAAAAAATTATGATTATGTATGATTTGTGTCTTGTCTTATATGTGAATGAGAAAATATTTGAGGCATGCAGCTTGTTAGAAAGTTGATCCATATGCTTCTATTTTTTTTGGGAGGGCACGCATTTTTTGGTGCTATTATACCATGATCACGAGGCTTTTCCAAATTCTATATATATTATATCAGAATTTTATGTTTTGCAGTGCATCAAAATCCATGTGGCAGTGGTTCTTAAATCTGTGTGTCTGTCTGTCTGACAGACACAGACAGACAGTCTCGGAACACCTGCTCACGTGCAGGTGTTCAGTAGTATGAGTGAGAGTTATCGTTACTCTGGGGTTGGAGGTGTAATCATTCATAGTATATTAGAACATAAGGACCAGAGGTGTAGAGGGAGAAGATATGGGGTTGCGCCATTATTGACTTGCCAGTCCAAATAACCTTGTTGCTTATTTTCCACTTTGCACTTTTAACCCTGCGTGATAGAGGTCAGTTTGCTCTGTTCTTTATATTTCTGCTATTACATACCGTTTTTGGCATGTTGGTAAAGCATTAGTTGATGCAGACCTTACAGCTCAGTACCGGAAGGGTGATGTTAATATATTTACTACGTAAGAGGAGCTACCTGCTAAACTGGTCTCTACTACTCACACCTTAGGGTCGTTATTACTGTGTATCATGATAGACGTGTAACGCTATTGGAACACGTGTTCTTTTGATTATTCAGATTTTTTTTTAGGAGAATCCCCCCCCCCCCCAAGAGGGATACCTATGGTTTTCGTCATTTTTTTTTTCCAAAGTTTCTCTGCTGTAACTTGAGAATGCCTCTTCTGATCGCTTTCAAATATTTAATGCTGATTGTTGTGTTATTAAAGTATGTAGGTGGAATTTTTTTTTAAATTGTATATTATTTCTGTTTTCTAATTTAAGAATGCCCCTTCTGAATGACTTCAACATTTAAGTAATGATTTATCACTTTTGAAAGAAGTCAATATAGTTTTAGTATGTGTGGATGCAAATTTGTCAATTTTCTAGTATAAAAAAGTGAAGACTGCTGTTTTTCACACAAAAAAAAAAAAAACAGGAGAATGCCTCTTCTGATAAGCTTCAAACTTTTGGTCCTAATCTTTGCAGCGCTGTATAGTCCTTGTGGCTTAGCGCTTCTTTTCTGATTATAATAATAATAATGGTCCTAATCTGTTTTAAGATAAGATTTTCGTTCGGATTTTTAACCCCGGAGGGTTAGCCACCCAGGATAACCCAAGAAAGTCAGTGCATCATTGAGGACTGTCTAACTTATTTCCATTGGGGTCCTTAATCTTGTCCCCCAGGATGCGACCCACACCAGTCGACTAACACCCAGGTACCTATTTGCTGCTAGGTGAACAGGACAATAGGTGTAAGGAAACGTGTCGAAATGTTTCCACCCGCCGGGAATCGAACCCGGGCCCTCCGTGTGTGAAGCGGGAGCTTTAGCCACCAGGCCACCGGGCCACCAGAGGAATGATCTCATTGTTAATGGACTGCATAACCCTCAATTTGGTTGCCATGTGCATGGTGTTCCAAGCAACAGCAGCTGGACCTGAAGACATCAATGTCGAAATGTTTCAGCACTTCATTCTACAGTCTCACTACTGGTAACTGATACTACTATCAGTTACCAGTAGTGTCAGTGACTCGTACCAACCGTTACTGATTCACTGTCCCCGTTACGTGATCACAGACCGTTATTGAGTCATTCTACTGACCAAGCATGTTGTTTGAATGTCGCTTGCCCTCCGGGCACGATAAAAGTTAGTTGAGAACAGGGTAGCAGAGACGGCAGGTCAGGCTTGGCAGTTCCATCCTTAGTGCCCATAATAATAAGTTACCAGCCATCCAGAGTGTGTGATTTTACCCACTTCCAGCAGAACCCCTACATGACAAATTGGTGGCAGCAGTATGGGTCTGGATTTAGAGTATTTCAGCAATTAACAAAGAAAGCCAGACTTGTTTCGCGCCAGCGCTGGGTTATTGGTGCCACTGTATCCCTCGGTCAACAAAGCCACCTCCCAGCCAGTCAGCCAGCCAGCCAGTTTCTACAGCCACCTACAAAGCTTCGTGGTTAGTTGTGCCTTAGTTGCATTGTTAGCCTTCAAGGAGTTGATCTGGGTTTTTAAGCCGACCAGTAAGCCAGCCTGTGGTAGAGACCGCAAGTTACTATCCAGCCTGTTTCAAGTCATCCAACCTGCTTCTTCATGCTGTGTGCATAACGTGAATTCAGTCATCCAGTGTGGGTTTCATCCAGCTAAGCCAACTGTTTCTCCAGCACAGCCAGAAGTCTGCCCAGCGAGTTCCTCTTTGAAGAATTGTCTCCAATATCGCTTTGTGCTACCAGTTGGATGCTGGTAAGAGTGATATTCACCATCCCTGTGGCATATTGTGGCTTAAGCCACCTGAGTTTTCTCGTGAGTAGTGTAGGGTAGTTCCTGTGCCGTGAGATTGTGTGCCAGTGAGCACGCGGGATAGTCACCCAAACCTCCGCCACCTCCACCACCCACCCGGGGTTCTGCTGGAATTGGGTAAAATCACACACTTCGGACGGCTGGTAACTTATTGTTATAGGCACTAAGGATGGAACCGCCAAGCTTGACTTGCCGTCTGCTACCCTGCTCTCAACTAACTGAAATCGTGCCCGGAGGGTGAGCAACATTAAACAACATGCTTGGTCAGCAGAATGACTCAATAATGGTCAGTGATCATGTAAGGGGGGACTGTGAATCAGTAACGGTTGGTATGAGTCACTGACACTAATGGTAACTGATACTACTGAGAACAGTGCTAATCTTCTTGTACCTGTTCAGTCATATTGAGTTTTAACTCTTCAGTTGAAAACTGAAGAAGTCCTTTTTTTTTTAACACTAATCAGTCTTATAGGCTAAGAGTTGTTATCCTACCACAGCTCATTTCAAAGCCTCAGCCCTATCTAAGGTATACGTACTACATCCACAATTGGTGATAACCAATTGGTTATTGTAATCTTTTTCAGTCTATATAAAGCTTATAATATTACCTTGCTGGGCGTTACAACATCTTGTCCCAAGCTTATTCCATAGGCCTCCGAGGCAAACTGGAGCTTTTTCTTTAGGTTTTGTTATCAGAGGCTCTCCAGTGTTCAAATAAACAAGAGTTTTTCCCCTGACCTTATGTAATTTGAAGGTGAACTGTAAGTATATGCTCTTAGCACTACCTTGTTTCTACTCATCATTAGCAAACTTGCCTCTGTTCTTCTGTCAAATACCTGGTCATCTCTTTATGTTACTAGGCGAGTTTGGTATTACTTGTGCAGGCACAGGCTGTCAACTTGTAGAGACCTTTCTAATACTCTATTGACTGAGCTTCCTACTGGCCCACCTTACATGTTTTCAGTTTTCTGTTGCTTGAACAGGATTAATTTCATATGACAATCTATTATCCCTCATCCATTTCTATACAGTACCTATTGGTTCCTGTATCCTTGAACAGAAACGGTCCCATTTCTCAGCCATGTCTTTGATAGTCTAATGTCATGGAAGCCTCACAGAACCTCCCTCAGCACTGCCATGAAGGTGGTAAACAAGATCTTCTTTGTCTGCATTCAGCCCTATCTTATCTACATTAGACTACGGACACCAACTGTATTCCTCAGCCTCCCCTGCCACTCCTGAATGTGATCCCATCATGGTTTACATTTATGTCTTAGGTTTTTTTTTTTAATCTTTCCCAGTTGAGAGCCTGTACACAGGCAAATGTCCCTTTGCAGGATGATGCCCAGAGTCTGCTATTTTGTCTGCTTCCATTATCTTCACAATTCTACCACATACAAAGCAATTAAGGATGTTAATAAGACTTGTTTTATTGTTGCTCCCATTTATTGTCTCTTTAGTCTCTATATTTGCACTTTAATAATATCTCTAAGTTACCTTCCCATTATGTTCTCCCCATAACTTTTCCCTTCTCTCTTCACTTTGAATTGTACAATGTTATGCTTAGTTTTTATAATAAGGATTGATTACTGTATTTTATGTAATGCTGATAATTATGCAATACAATAAATATTTTAACTCACTTTCAAGTCTTTCCTGTCCTTTACCTGCAAAATTTAGTCTAAATGTGACACGCTTTCTTTTGTGTATTTCAGATTGAGTGTCTGCGAGTGCTAGTCAGTGGTGTGGGTAATGGAGTGGCTGCACATCCTGCCATGACAACCTCTCGCTTTACACAGACTCCTGCACACATTGCTGCCTTTGCTGGCCACCCTCATTGTTTACAGTGGCTCTTGCAGTCTGGAGTTGATCCAAATGCACAGGTCAGAGGGGTTATTATAGAATTTTTATTGTAATCATTACAAGAAACAAATAGCTTTATTAACTAGATTAAAAAACATGCATTTGAATGCATACGCACCAAATGTAAATGTAACTAATTTCATAGGTAGTAGGTAAGTAGACAGTAACCATCCAGGAAATTACTACCAACTTTTCATGGGATTATGAAACTGAGCCCTGTTAGTCTTTCTGTTATCTGGCAGTATTGCTGGTCATTTTCTTTCTGCTAGCTAGGCCAGTGCAAAGAAAGTCTGAGAGGACTTTAGAGTTGTGGCAGGTTTTCATCCCAGGTATGGTGCTAATGTTAAAATTGTGAAAATGATGTATTTTGCTTACATTAGATCATTTGGTTAATTAAGCTGTGGCCCTGCTTGCTTGTGTCAGACCGAAAGTTTGGAGGACCTGCAAAATTACAGAGCAAAGCAGTGAGGATCATCCTGGGATGCCCTCGTACTGCCATAATTGCTAAGAGTGATGCTACATCTTCATAAAACTATGTACTGTATATTGTATTTTAATTGTGTTTCATCTGAGACCAAAACTGTACTATACGTATACAGCCTTCCTTAACTTAGCGGCGTACTCATTTATCGATGACTCCAACTTATGACAGGCTCTCTTGACTAGTATGCATACCTAAATAATGTATATTAGAGTTGATTTCCTCTGTTGTGTTTATTACAGTATACAGTACACTACTGTATAAACACTTCAAAATATACCAGAAATTTTATAAATAGTGCAAAGGTAACATTAAAACAATATCAAAGATGGTTGACACAAATCCACTACCATTATAGTATTCTCCTCACTTAGCAACTAATTCATTTACCAGCATGGTGTTAGGAACAGAACTCCATCATAAGTGAGGAGAGGCTGTACTTTAATTTTAATGAAGGCCTAGTGATGATGTGTAGAGTTGTAGAATAGCTTTTAGATTCTGGATTGTGAAATATGAAAAATGGGCTTAAAATAATGTTACAGTATGTGTTTTGTGATTACAATTTATGCAATACGAGAGTGAATTAGTATTGAGAGTAGAAAGTTGATAAAATTTTTCAGCGCATCAGCCATCTCCCTCCAAGATAGGGTGACAACCCCCCCCCCCCCCCCCAAAAAAAAAAAAAAAGAGGAAACACATTCACTTCCATTCACTCAATTACTATCTTGTCAGAAGTGCACTGATGTCACAATTCAGAGACCCTTCCAACTGCAACATCCCCACCTTTCCTTCAGAGTGCAGGCACTGTACTTCATATAACAGGGCTCAGGTCCAGTTAACTGGCTTCTCTGCAACTCCTTTATAAGTGTTGTCTTGCTCACTCCAGCAGCACATCAAATCATAAAAAAAACACTTGTCTACAATTGTCGTGGGGGTTCGTAGGAGATATGAAGGTTGGAGATAAACACACTTGTTGGATGGTAACACTATATTGCAGAGTGTGAGAGAGGGAGGCCCAGCCTGCCTGTAGATGCTTGGTAGGTCTAACGGGAACTGAGAAGGATTCCAGGTGCGAAGGGCTCACAACAGCATCACGTGACGTCACACATGCTAGTCGCTGAGCCTACTGACCAGGGAGCCTAAATATATATACGCATATGGATGATACGATCTACAGTATACTACACAAGTATACGTATAAGGGAATTCAGTAGCTATACTGACACAATGACTCATGTGTACATTATTTTTTTTATTTTTTTTTTATTATCACACTGGCCGATTCCCACCAAGGCAGGGTGGCCCGAAAAAGAAAAACTTTCACCATCATTCACTCCATCACTGTCTTGCCAGAAGGGTGCTTTACACTACAGTTTTTAAACTGCAACATTAACACCCCTCCTTCAGAGTGCAGGCACTGTACTTCCCATCTCCAGGACTCAAGTCCGGCCTGCCGGTTTCCCTGAATCCCCTTTATAAATGTTACTTTGCTCACACTCCAACACACGTCAAGTATTAAAAACCATTTGTCTCCATTCACTCCTATCAAACACGCTCACGCATGCCTGCTGGGAAATCCAAGCCCCTCGCACACCAAAAAACCCCCTTTACCCCTCCCCTCCAACCCTTCCTAGGCCGACCCCTACCCCGCCTTCCTTCCACTACAGACTGATACACTCTTGAAGTCATTCTTTTCGCTCCATTCTCCTACATGTCCGAACCACCTCAACAACCCTTCCTCAGCCCTCTGGACAACAGTTTTGGTAAAACCCGCACCTCCTCCTAACTTCCAAACTACGAATTCTCTGCATTATATTCACACCACACATTGCCCTCAGACATGACATCTCCACTGCCTCCAGCCTTCTCCTCGCGCAACATTCATCACCCACGCTTCACACCCCCTATAAGACGTTGGTAAAACTATACTCTCATACATTCCCCTCTTTGCCTTTCCAAGGACAAAGTTCTTTGTCTCCACAGACTCCTAAGTGCACCACTCTTTTCCCTCATCAATTCTATGATTTACCTCATCTTTCCCTAGACCCATCCGCTGACACGTCCACTCCCAAATATCTGAATACATTTACCTCCTCCATACTCTCTCCCTCCAATCTGATATTCAATCTTTCATCACCTAATCTTTTTGTTATCCTCATAACCTTACTCTTTCCTGTATTTACCTTTAATTTTCTTCTTTTGACACCCTACCAAATTCTTCCACCAATCTCTGCAGCTTCTCTTCAAATCCCCAAGAGCACAGTGTCATCACAAAGAGCAGCTGTGACAACTCCCACTTTGTGTGTGATTCTTTATCTTTAAAACCCCCCACCCTCTTGCCCAAGACCCTCGCATTTCTTCTCTTAAAAACCCCATCTATAAATATTTTAAAACAACCACGTGACATCACCATCCTTGCAAAGGGCCTATTTTTAGGGGAAAAAAAAATTTCCCCTTTTTCCCTACATACTCTAACTTGACCCTCACTACCCCTTTTTAAAAACTTTTAAATGTTTTCGTAACCTACCCCCACACATACACTTGCAACACTGCCACATTGCCCCCCTATCCACCCTGCCCATACCCTTTTCCCCAAATCCATAAATGCCACAAAGACCTTTTTAGCCTTACTAAAAACTGTTCACTTAATTTTTTCACTGTAAACACCTGGCCCCACACACCCCCCACCTTTCCTAAAGCCTCCTTTTCATCTGCATCCTTTTCTCCTCTTACTCTAATTCTTTCAATTTTAAAAACTACCATACACTTTACCGGACACTCAAAAAGACTTATCCCCTTAATTTTGCCTCTCTTTTACCCCCCCTTTGCCTTTATAAAAAGGGAAACTATGCTGCCCTCCCAAAACCCAGGTACCACCCTTTTCCATCATTTATTAAAAAATTGCACCAACCACTCCAAAACTATACCCCCACCTGCTTTTTAAACATTTCTATTTTACCCCTCAATCCCGGCTCCCTTCCCCCCTTTTCATTTTCCCTACGCCTCACGAATTTCCCCCACATCACAACGGCTCTTCCTCACTCCAAAGATGTTTTTCCCCTCCTTGCCCAAAACAACGAAATCACGCTTCCCATTTTTCACAACTTTTAAAAATTTCTCAAAAATTCCCCCATTTTTCCCAATACCTCAAACCCTTCCATTTAATAACTCCCTCTCCTTTTTTTAACGACAAATCCCTTTGTTTCAGGGGTTTTTTAACTTGTTAATCTCACTCCAAAACTTTTTCTATTTTCAACAAAAAATTTGTTTGGGTAACCTAACCCACTCTCTCATTTTTCTTTTTACATTGCTTCACCACTCTCTTAACTCTCTCTTTTTCTCCATATACTCTTCCCCCTTGCAACACTTCTACTTTTTTAAAAACTTCTCTTGCAACTTTTTTCCCCTTACTACTCTCTTTTCATCATCATTCCCCCCCAAACGCTCCTCTTCAGTCGCACCCACTTTCCTGTAACCACAAACTTCTGCTGAACACTTTCCCCAACACTACTTTTAAAACTACCCCATACCTCTTTGACCCCCTTGCCTATGCTCTCATTTTGCCCATCTATCCTAATAGTGTTTATACTTTCCCCAACTCCTCCTCTTTTAGTTTATAAAACCTTTCCCTCTCTCTTCCCTGATGCTTCTATTCTCCTTGTATCCCATCTACCTTTTACTCTCAGTGTAGCTACAACTAGAAAGTGATCTGATATATCTGTGGCCCCTCTATAAACATGTACATCCTGAAGTCTACTCAACAGTCTTTTATCTACCAATACATAATCCAACAAACTACTGTCATTTCGCCCTACATCATATCGTGTATACTTATTTATCCTCTTTTTCTTAAAATATGTATTATGTGTATTATATGTATTATATGTATTATGTATATGTGTACAGTATACATATAATACTACTGCATATTGTGTGTGTGTGTGCAACATGCACTTGTCTTAGTCAGAGGAAACTCTAAGACTAAATGAAAAACATAGGTTGTTAAACACTTCAAAAAAATAGATAAGCTAACCATAGACTTGAGATAGAACTAATACCGGAATTATATTTTTATGCGAACAGTGATCAACTAAAGAGATGTAATAATAATAATCATATACAGGGAAGCAATAACCCATAAACATCATACAGTGCCTGGATAATAGGAGAATATCATGTCTGATCTGGATAATGTGCCTTTCACTAGCATCAAGGCACCTCCTTGAAAGAGACCTAACACTAGTACTGAGTGTTGTGTTGGTGGGTATATTACAACTGTGTTACAGAGACCTAATGCTAGTACTGAGTGTTGTGTTGGTGGGTATATTACAACTGTGTTACAGAGACCTAATGCTAGTACTGAGTGTTGTGTTGGTGGGTATATTACAACTGTGTTACAGAGACCTAATGCTAGTACTGAGTGTTGTGTTGGTGGGTATATTACAACTGTGTTACAGAGACCTAATGCTAGTACTGAGTGTTGTGTTGGTGGGTATATCAGTTATGTTACAGAGACCTAACACTAATTACTTAGTGGGTATAAGGCAACAGATGTGTTAGAGATATAACACTAGTACTGAGTGCTGGCAGGTATATTACAACAAGTGTGGTAGAGGCATAACACTGGTACTGAGGGTTAAGGTGGTGAATGTATCTAAACCACTGTGCAGGTTGAACATGCGTCATACATCATAATTCTCACATTGCAGGATTACTTGGGAGAGACGGCTCTACACAAGGCAGCACGCACAGGCTCCACAGAATGTGTTAATCTTCTGATTGAAAACAAGGCAAAAATTGGGTATGTTATAGCAGTTTTAGTACTACAGATTTTATATTTAGAATTAATTTAAAGAGAAGATTTTTCTGGTGACATGAGACACAGTTTCAAAACAAGCAATGCAGTAATAAATTAGTTACTATATTTTTACAGTAAAAGAATAAGATTATTGACAATTACATTTATCAATAATTTTGCACGATTTCTGTATCTGTGGCTTGTTTCCTCTTGTAACTTGCCATCCATGAGAGGTTGATGATATGTTCCCTCTATAAACTTGCCATTCATGAGAGGTTGATATGTTCCCTCTATAAACTTGTCATCCGTGAGAGATTGATGATATGATTCCTCTATAAACCTGCCATCCGTAAGAAGCTGACAGTATGTTTTCTCTGTAAACTTGACATCCATGAGAGACTGGCATTTTATAACATCTTCAACAAACATTACGAATGCCTTAAGTGTTAAAAACTCTTGAATGGTTGCCAAGAAAACTTGTAAAAGAATTTTGCTTATTAATTTGGCTGTTATCAATGAGACAAGAGACAGCAGAACATTGTGTTAAAGAACAAGAGTGAGGCCTTTGTCAGCAAGCATAATTTGAGTATAAAGAAGGCATCCAGCACAATGTTATATTGAGGAACAAGAATGAGGTCTTCCTCAGCAAGCTAAGACAAGGCAAAATACATAAAATAGACAGGCAAGAGGAAGTGAAAATTTCAGTTTCCAATACTGTAAATCTGTCTGCTTATAATAATATATACAAATCTCACATTTGGATAATCTAAAGTAGTTTTATGTTCTAATTTTTCATTAAGCCAAAAATGCTCTGCATAGCTAGGGGCTTTCCATAATTAATAATGCAGTGCATGTCATCTAATTTTGTACAGTTTTATTTTTAAAGAAATAAAAATTTTAATTTTAATTTCAATAAATCTTTCTTAAGCAATTTTTTTGTTCTTATTCAGAAAAGTACAAATTTCAGGAATTCAAAATTTCTTAAAGAATTTTGTCTTTTGAAAAATAATTGCTATCCTTTATTGAAATTCTAATTAGAATTCATTAAAGTCAGACTGCTTATTCAAACTAATTCAAAATATCAGTGACTGTTACAGATTCAAGATTCAATCCTGACTAGTTTTTCAGTGTCCTATCAGCTGTCAACAAAATCTTCCACTGGGAAAAGAAAAATAATGCAATGTTTATTTTCCTCTAAGAAGAACCTAAACTTTTCATTTTGTCTCACACTGACATGCAATGGTCACCCACGAATTTCTTCCTCGAAAGATAATCCTGACTCAGACAGTATAAAGAATGTCTTAAAAGCTATGTACCGTATACGTGTTTCATGTGAACTTGGCCCTGAAGTGTGTCCTCTGATAGCAGTTCCTTGTGATGTACATAACTCTCCTCCTTCAGGAACAAAAGCTATAGAGGTCTCCTTGGAACAAAGAGAATGCATTGCATGTGTGACTTATGAATGAAGACCACTACTTTCTTTAGCACTGGAACTAGAGAGAAGAGCTATGGAAACTTGAATTTGGTCCAGATCAGTAACATTGCATCCATTGACCTAACTAATAGGTTTAGGTATGGTGAGACAAAATTTAGACGTATGTGATTTTGAAATGTTGAGAAAAAGTTCATACCTAAAGTTCTACAACATTCCACCAGATACAGAAAAATGCCCTGTTCCCACTGGTGCAGCAGTGTAATACTCAGACAGGCAATCTGCAAAGATGTTATGGCATCTCAGAATTTAGGAAGGTAGGAAATGAGTGTTTTTCCTTATGCACAAAGTCAACTCTCTCTGCATTAGGCTGCAGAATGGCATTAATGTATACAAAACTAAATGCTGGAGTTGTACGAATGCTAGCTTCTTGAAGGAGTAGACCACAAGTGTAGTTACAGTTATTCCAGTGAACTGTTGCACTGTGAACAGCATTTTGTATTTTCAAGTTTGTGTGGAAGATGAGTTGATTATGATGCAAACTTTCATGAGAGTAGTTCTTTAACTTGTCAATGAAGCATCTGTCATTAATTTATTCTGAGGAAGAATTTAAATTCATGGAAGCTAATCTCTTGCGGTTCTCTTACTACACAAAGGTACGTCTGCATTGACAGGCAAATATATGCATGGTCAGTGAAGAAAAATTTTAGGTAGAGAGAAATGATCTAAAGGATGAAATGAACAACCAGCATGAGACAACAAGGTACAGAGATATATAGCAATGTACTGCAGTGAAGCAGTTTTTCACATAACAAGGTCAAACCTACAAAAGTCCACAGTACGTACAACCAGAACTGCAGAAAACAGGGATGTATAAACTAAGAGCCTATTAAAGCATCACACAGTACTGGTGGTACTAACAAAGCCTCATAATCCAAACATCTCAGATGGTATGGTATACAGTATCTTCATTTCTATTTTTGCTGATATTCAGGATTTAAAAACAAAAATAAATAAAATTAAGTGGGTAGGGGATGTGTAGATCAGGTGTTTACATTGAAGCATATATGTGAACAGTATTTAGATAAAGATAGGGAAGTTTTTATTGCATTTATGGATTTAGAAAAGGCATATGATAGAGTGGATAGAGGAGCAATGTGGCAGATGTTGCAAGTATATGGAATAGGTGGTAAGTTATTAAATGCTGTAAAGAGTTTTTATGAGGATAGTGAGGCTCAGGTTAGGGTGTGTAGAAGAGAGGGAGACTACTTCCCGGTAAAAGTAGGTCTTAGACAGGGATGTGTTATGTCACCATGGTTGTTTAATATATTTATAGAGGGGGTTGTAAAGGAAGTAAATGCTAGGGTGTTTGGGAGAGGGGGGGATTAAATTATGGGGAATCAAATTCAAAATGGGAATTGACACAGTTACTTTTTGCTGATGATACTGTGCTTATGGGAGATTCTAAAGAAAAATTGCAAAGGTTAGTGGGTGAGTTTGGGAATGTGTGTAAAGGTAGAAAGTTGAAAGTGAACATAGAAAAGAGTAAGGTGATGAGGGTGTCAAATGATTTAGATAAAGAAAAATTGGATATCAAATTGGGAGGAGGAGTATGGAAGAAGTGAATGTTTTCAGATACTTGGGAGTTGACGTGTCGGCGGATGGATTTATGAAGGATGAGGTTAATCATAGAATTGATGAGGGAAAAAAGGTGAGTGGTGCGTTGAGGTATATGTGGAGTCAAAAAACGTTATCTATGGAGGCAAAGAAGGGAATGTATGAAAGTATAGTAGTACCAACACTCTTATATGGGTGTGAAGCTTGGGTGGTAAATGCAGCAGCGAGGAGACGGTTGGAGGCAGTGGAGATGTCCTGTTTAAGGGCAATGTGTGGTGTAAATATTATGCACAAATTCGGAGTGTGGAAATTAGGAGAAGGTGTGGAGTTAATAAAAGTATTAGTCAGAGGGCAGAAGAGGGGTTGTTGAGGTGGTTTGGTCATTTAGAGAGAATGGATCAAAGTAGAATGACATGGAAAGCATATAAATCTATAGGGGAAGGAAGGCGGGGTAGGGGTCGTCCTCGAAAGGGTTGGAGAGAGGGGGTAAAGGAGGTTTTGTGGGTAAGGGGCTTGGACTTCCAGCAAGCGTGCGTGAGCGTGTTAGATAGGAGTGAATGGAGACGAATGGTACTTGGGACCTGACGATCTGTTGGAGTGTGAGCAGGGTAATATTTAGTGAAGGGATTCAGGGAAACCGGTTATTTCATATAGTTGGACTTGAGTCCTGGAAATGGGAAGTACAATGCCTGCACTTTAAAGGAGGGGTTTGGGATATTGGCAGTTTGGAGGGATATGTTGTGTATCTTTATATGTGTATGCTTCTAGACTGTTGTATTCTGAGCACCTCTGCAAAAACAGTGATAATGTGCGAGTGTGGTGAAAGTATTGAATGATGATGAAAGTATTTTCTTTTTGGGGATTTTCTTTCTTTTTTGGGTCACCCTGCCTCGGTGGGAGACGGCCGACTTGTTGAAAAAAAAAAAAAAAAAAAAAGTATATAAATGGGCTCGTCACAGATGCAAATGCAATGTTATAGGTGCAGAACTGCAATTGATGTAGATGTGAGAGAGTAAATAAGTAACAGGTAGGAGTGGGAATCTATGTAAGAGACTCATCGTGTTGTACAGAACTGTTGAAATGATCAAATGATCAAGTAGCAGTAAAAGGCATTAAAGTAGAGAAAAAGAATGTGGTCGTTGACCTTGCATATTAACCACCGTTAGCATTGACAGAGGAATTCTTTGCTCTAAACAGATAGGACATATAATTAGCTACTTTGAAATCCTTTAAAACTCCTCTAAAATATTATTGTCCTCAGATATTTTAACCTAAATGTTAAATGGTAGACAACTCTTACCAGAAATAGTACCTGGAAACATTTTTGCCCAACAGATGCGTACCAGAAACAATTAGAGACTTGTGAAAGGTTTATTTTGAACTACAGATAACAGAACCTAGAAATGAAAGTACTGTACACTTAGACTTAATCTTCTTGAACATTGAGGATCTAATAGAGACGTAGTCTCAAATACAATAATCTCCGACAACAACCTCACTGAAGTACTGACAAGCATAAATCCGTGTGTAGAAAACCTAGGAAAGAGCCAAATTGCAGGGATGATCACTGGCTTTCTTTTATGCTTAACAATATTTTATTACATGTAAACTACATTTTGTATACTACAGAAAAGAACTAAAGTTGTATTGCATTGTATCATATTCAACAGTCAGGGATTTGAATGGGACAAAATGAACAAGAACTGTCAGACATTTTCTGGGAAATAGTCCTGAAAAAGGTATCCCACTGAGAAAAACTAATCAGATATTGAAAGAGAACTTAGAAGAATGCACAAAAGAAAAATGGTTACTGATTTGTTTAAAAATGAGCATAAAACAGCAAAGGAAAGATCATATACATGGAGCAGTTACTGATATAGAGCAGAAACTAAAACATATATACAGTGGTACCTCGAGTTACAAACTTAATTCGTTCCAGAGGGCTGTTTCGAGTGCCGATACCAAAAGAATTTGTTCCCATGAGGAATAATGTAAATTAGATTAGTCCATTTCAGACCCCCAGAAATACGCTTATAAAAGCACTTACAAAAATACACTTGCATAATTGTTCGAGTTGGGAGCTGTTTGAAACTTGAGGTACCACTGTACTATGCCAGACAAGAGAAGCACAGAAGGAACAAATAGCCATCTGGGAAACCAACAAAAATCATAACTATTTCTACACATACAAAATCCAATTAAAAATCCACCTAGAGAATTGGTCCACTGCACATTTCATATACAAATGATGAAAAAGAAATGAGCAAAATTTTGAAAAACCAGTATGAATCAATGTACTAACAGTCCACTAAATGACAGCAGGGATGAGAATAAAGTTTTTTTTTTTTTTTTTCATTACCTCTGCCCACACTACCAATCATATACAGCCTCTCCTCACTTAACGATGGAGTTCCGTTCCTAAGACCACATCATTAAACGAATTCATCACTAAGTGAGGAGTATACTATAATGTTAGAGTGTTTGTGTCAACCATCTTTGATATTGTTTTAAAGTCACCTTTGCACCATTTATAACATTTCTGGTATATTTTTAAATGTTTATACAGTAGTGTACTGTATATTGAAATAAACAGAATAGAGGAAATCAGCTCTATTATACATTATTTAGGTATGAATACTGGTCAGAGAGCCCGTCATAAGTCCGAGGCATCAGTAAACAAGTACGTTGCTAAGTGCACTGATATAAGCACCCTTCCCCAGAATTAGAAAAGGAAATAGAAAACGTACTCACACTTGCAATATCAGGGCCTGATTAATGGACTTAGTCCTGGAGGTGGGAAGTACAGTGCCTGTACTCTGAAGGAGGGGTGGAGATATGTTGCAGTTTTTTAACTGTAGCATCAGCATGCTTCTGGCAAGACAGTGGAGTGAGTCATGCTGAAAGTGTTTCTTCTTTTTTGGGTCACCCTACCTCAGTTGGAAACGGCCAGCATGTTAAAAAAAATTCACAAAGTGCAACATACCACTAGAACAAGCATGAAAATTGCTTTTGTAGAAGACATTAAAAATTTGCAAGTATGTATCAACAAATTCTTCCATTGAGCAATAGAAATTAAGATTGACTGTTGATTAATTCCAGCTGTTCAGATATGGAAAGAATGAGGAACTCAGTGAGCACTCACTACAAAACACAAGAGGATCATCTTATAGAATGAAAATAATATGTGCGAGACTTAGATATAATAATGTCAAATTCTCATATGGAGGACACATTGAGACTGGTGCTGGGAAAATAAAAAAAGGTCTAGCTAAACAATGAGAACTTTCATATCAAGAGAAATAACACCAATGTGTGTTGTTAAAATCACTTGTGTTTTCTCATAGAATATTCAGTGTTCATAGCTCTGTTCAAGGCAGGAGAGATTTCAGAGCCGGAGATGATACAAGGATCATTCACTGTCCTCGTACTGTTATTAAACCATTTAAGCTATGTGAAGCACCCCAAAGTACTGGAAAGTACTGCAGTGAAGAGATACCAGAACCATACCCCCGGCCGGGATTGAATCCCGGCCGGGGGTATGGTTTATTTGCAATCGTGTCATTACGATTTCTTGAGTCAAGAGATACCAGATATGTGAAAATATACATGGAAGATTCAGGCCTATAGTCCACAATCTACGTACTACCATAGACATACAGATAAGAGAATATGGAAGTGTGAAAATGAAGCACAGGATTCTGCACAATAGTAATACTGTGCCAACTATTTCCATACTATCAACTGCTTCACAGATTCAGAAATGCTGAACAAGTTCAAGTGACACTGGATACACCTCCAACCATTCCGGATCAATCAAGCTGTACTAGATATGGGAGTTAGTGGGCTGCCAACAGCCTGGTTGAACAAGCAGTCAGCAGAATAGCCTGTCCCCGGGTAGGACTAGGGTAAAAATTGTTAAAAGTGTCATAGATATATCATAGGTCACAGCTGAGCTTTAATTCATTGGTCTCACAACCTCTTTGATGAGTTTCGAGAGTCTTTCTACTCCCAGAGCCTGGCCATGAGCCAGACTCGTCTGATGCTAGCCTGGTCAATCAGGCTGTTGCTTCTGGAGGCCTGCTGCCCCACATATTCATCACAGCCTGGTTGATCTGGCACCTGGTGAAAATATGTACTTGTTCAGCTTCCTCTTGAAAACTTCTACACTTGTACCAGCAGTGTTTCTGATATCTAATAGTAAGATGTTGAATAATCTGGGCCATGGATGTGGCCCCAGATTATTCAACATTTTATTATTCACTGAATTTATTTTGAATGTCCTCCCATATCTCTCACTCCAGTATGTTATGGCAGTGTGCATATTTGGGACCATTCCCTCGAGTACTTTTCAGTTATATATTATCATGTATCTCTCTCCTCCACTCCAATGAGTACATATTTAAGACTTTAAGGCATTCCCAGTAATTTAAATGCTTTATTGGCTCTATGATGGCTAACTACTGGGACTAGCTACTTCCTTTGACTAATAATGTCTATGAACTGGTGCTTAGAGCCCAGCTCTTAATGCAAATATATGCACAAGAAAGAAAAATAGAAAGCAGAAGGTGGCTGCCAACAACGTACTTTGTAGACATACTTTTGCAGGTTACTCTTCCTGTAGTAGTTTATCAAGCCAAGACATTCTACATATTTTTAATGGTTTTCACAAATCCAGAAAGCTAATTTCAGTTTGGATCTGATAGAGCAGTGCTAATATGGATCATTGTGCTGAAGTATAAAATGTTTTTATGGTATTGAGGAAGAAAATAGAAAATGGTTTAAACCATATTTAAAAAGTATGCGTGATATTGACTCTTTCTTTGTGTAAGCTAACTAGAACTTACGTACTGTATTTTCAGACTTCGAAACAACAATTGCCAGACAGCTGCTCAACTTGCAAATGCATGCAGTTACAGAGCCCTTGCTGATCACCTGTTGCAACTGGAAGGAAAGCAAGGTAGGATCCTAATTACTATTAAACTTTATTTTGTCTGTGTGCAATTAATTACTTAATTACTAAATTGATATTCATTAATCTGTGTTGAACTTAAGATTTTTATAGATGTGTAGTTTATAGTTACAGAGTAAGTTCCACTTAATAGGTTTGTGAAATATGGCAGGAATAACACATTTTTTTTTTTTTTCAACAAGTCGGCCGTCTCCCACCGAGGCAGGGTGACCCCCCAAAAAAAAAAAAAAAAAAAAAAAATCCCCAAAAAGAAAATACTTTCATCATCATTCAACACTTTCACCACACTCGCACATTATCACTGTTTTTGCAGAGGTGCTCAGAATACAACAGTCTAGAAGCATACACACATAAAGATACACAACATATCCCTCCAAACTGCCAATATCCCAAACCCCTCCTTTAAAGTGCAGGCATTGTACTTCCCATTTCCAGGACTCAAGTCCGACTATATGAAAATAACCGGTTTCCCTGAATCCCTTCACTAAATATTACCCTGCTCACACTCCAACAGATCGTCAGGTCCCAAGTACCATTCGTCTCCATTCACTCCTATCTGACACGCTCACGCACGCTTGCTGGAAGTCCAAGCCCCTTACCCACAAAACCTCCTTTACCCCCCTCTCTCCAACCCTTTCGAGGACGACCCCTACCCCGCCTTCCTTCCCCTATAGATTTATATGCTTTCCATGTCATTCTACTTTGATCCATTCTCTCTAAATGACCAAACCACCTCAACAACCCCTCTTCTGCCCTCTGACTAATACTTTTATTAACTCCACACCTTCTCCTAATTTCCACACTCCCGAATTTTCTGCATGATATTTACACCACACATTGCCCTTAAACAGGACATCTCCACTGCCTCCAACAATCTCCTCGCTGCTTGCATTTACCACCCAAGCTTCACACCCATATAAGAGTGTTGGTACTACTATACTTTCATACATTCCCTTCTTTGCCTCCATAGATAACGTTTTTTGACTCCACATATACCTCAACGCACCACTCACCTTTTTTCCCTCATCAATTCTATGATTAACCTCATCCTTCATAAATCCATCCGCCGCGACACGTCAACTCCCAAGTATCTGAAAACATTCACTTCTTCCATACTCCTCCTCCCCAATTTGATATCCAATTTTTCTTTATCTAAATCATTTGACACCCTCATCACCTTACTCTTTTCTATGTTCACTTTCAACTTTCTACCTTTACACACATTCCCAAACTCATCCACTAACCTTTGCAATTTTTCTTTAGAATCTCCCATAAGCACAGTATCATCAGCAAAAAGTAACTGTGTCAATTCCCCTTTTGAATTTGATTCCCCCTAATTTAATCCCACCCCTCTCCCAAACACCCTAGCATTTACTTCCTTTACAACCCCATCTATAAATATATTAAACAACCATGGTGACATTACACATCCCTGTCTAAGACCTACTTTTACCGGGAAGTAGTCTCCCTCTCTTCTACACACCCTAACCTGAGCCTCACTATCCTCATAAAAACTCTTTACAGCATTTAATAACTTACCACCTATTCCATATACTTGCAACATCTGCCACATTGCTCCTCTATCCACTCTATCATATGCCTTTTCTAAATCCATAAATGCAATAAAAACTTCCCTATCTTTATCTAAATACTGTTCACATATATGCTTCAATGTAAACACCTGATCTACACATCCCCTACCCACTCTAAAACCTCCTTGCTCATCCGCAATCCTACATTCTGTCTTACCTCTAATTCTTTCAATTATAACCCTACCGTGAGAGTAAGACACATGTGCAACATCTGGGTATCTTTATTGTAGACGTTTCGCCATCCAGAGGGACTGATTACCTCATCTTCTGTACATAGTTCTACTGTCTTCAAGTTATGTCCTAGAATTTGTATTGATAAAGCCACTGGATGGCGAAACGTCTACAATAAAGATACCCAGATGTTGCACATGTGTCTTACTCTCATCTTGTCGGTATTATATACCATTCGTACATAACCCTACCGTACACTTTTCCTGTATACTCAGTAAGCTTATTCCTCTATAATTTTTACAGTCTCTTTTGTCCCCTTTCCCTTTATATAAAGGGACTATACATGCTCTCTGCCAATCCCTAGGTACCTTCCCCTATATATATATATATATATATATATATATATTATATATATATATATATATATATATATATATATATATATATAATATATATATATATATATATAATATATTTTTTTTTTTTTTTTTCAACAAACCGGCCGTATCCCACCAAGGCAGGGTGGCCCAAAAAGAAAAACGGAAGTTTCTCTTTTTAAATTTAGTAATTTATACGGGAGAAGGGGTTACTAGTCCCTTGCTCCCGGCATTTTAGTCGCCTCTTACAATACGCATGGCTTACGGAGGAAGAATTCTGTTCCACTTCCCCATGGAGATAAGAGGAAATAAACAAGAACAAGAACTAGAAAGAAAATAGAAGAAAACCCAAAGGGGTGTGCTTGTACATGTACGTGTAGTGTGACCTAAGTGTAAGTAGAAGTAGCAAGACGTACCTGAAATCTTGCATGTTTATGAGACAGACAAAAGACACCAGCAATCCTACCATCATGTAAAACAATTACAGGCTTTCATTTTACACTCGCTTGGCAGGATGGTAGTTCCTCCCTGTGCAGTTGCTGTCTACCAACCTACCACCTATAAATAACATATATATGTATGCAATAAGATCACAGTAAACAGGTGATTTCAGAATATGCAAAACAACCACTCTGAAAGAATAGAGAAATTCCAAGTGCTTTCGTGACTACTCACATTATCAAGGATAATGTGAGTAGTCACGAAAGTGCTTGGAATTTCTCTATTCTTTCAGAGTGGTTGTTTTGCATATATATGTATATATATTGTGTTGGTTTGTTATACCACATCAGTCTGTAAGCATATCCATTAAGCCTTTTTTTTTTTTTTAGATACTACATAGTTCTGTATTAATATATACAGTAGGACCCCTGTATCTGCAGGTCTGGTATCCACTGTTTCAGTTATCCGTGGTTTACCGTGGCCAGAAAATAACCCTTAATTTTCAAAATTCAGAATTCAAAATTCAAAATTTTTATTTCTTTGTAAAGTTTACAATGTATGGTTTACATTTTACAAAATATGAAGTACGAAGAAAGCCACTAGCATGCCTAGGCATTTCAGGCAGACTTAATAATGGCCTCAAAGTGCAAAAGTAGTGATGGAGAAGCCATGACGTGCTTTCCATCAGTGAAAAAGTGATAATTCTCCATTTATTGTGCATGCTTCGTCAATTAAACTTTATAGTAGGTATGTATAAGAAAATTGACAAAGTGGGAAGTCTGAATGTGCGTGGATGTTGTGCAAATGATAAGAAAGAGATGATTGTGGATGTTATGAATGAGAAGAAACTGGATGTCCTGGCTTTAAGTGAAACAAAGCTGAAGGGGGTGGGAGAGTTTCAATGGAGAGGAATAAATGGGATTAGGTCAGGGGTTTCAAATAGAGTTAGAGCTAAAGAAGGAGTAGCAATAATGTTGAAGGATAAGCTATGGCAGGAAAAGAGGGACTACAAATGTATAAATTCAAGGATTATGTGGAGTAAAATAAAGATTGGATGTGAAAAGTGGGTTATAGTAAGCGTGTATGCACCTGGAGAAGAGAGAAGTGTAGAGGAGAGAGAGAGATTCTGGGAAATGTTGAGTGAATGCGTGGGGAGTTTTGAATCAAGTGTGAGTAATGGTGGTTGGGGATTTCAATGCTAAAGTGGGTAAAAATGTTATGGAGGGAGTAGTAGGTAAATTTGGGGTGCCAGGGGTAAATGTAAATGGGGAGCCTTTAATTGAGCTATGTGTAGAAAGAAATTTGGTAATAAGTAATACATATTTTATGAAAAAGAGGATAAATAAATATACAAGGTATGATGTAGCATGTAATGAAAGTACATGTAGTTTGTTAGATTATGTATTGGTGGATAAAAGGTTGATGGGTAGGCTCCAGGATGTACATGTTTATAGAGGGGCAACTGATATATCGGATCATTATTTAGTTGTAGCTACAGTTAGAGTAAGAGGTAGATGGGAAAAGAGGAAGGTGGCAACAACAAGTAAGAGGGAGGTGAAAGTGTATAAACTAAGGGAGGAGGAAGTTCGGGAGAGATACAAGCGACTATTGGCAGAAAGGTGGGCTAGTGCAAAGATGAGTAGTGGGGGGGTTGAGGGTGGTTGGAATAGTTTTAAAAATGCAGTATTAGAATGTGGGGCAGAAGTTTGTGGTTATAGGAGGGTGGGGGCAGGAGGAAAGAGGAGTGATTGGTGGAATGATGAAGTAAAGGGTGTGATAAAAGAGAAAAAGGTAGCTTATGAGAGGTTTTTACAAAGCAGAAGTGTTATAAGAAGAGCAGAGTATATGGAGAGTAAAAGAAAGGTGAAGAGAGTGGTGAGAGAGTGCAAAAGGAGAGCAGATGATAGAGTGGGAGAGGCACTGTCAAGAAATTTTAATGAAAATAAGAAAAAATTTTGGAGTGAGTTAAACAAGTTAAGAAAGCCTAGGGAAAGTATGGATTTGTCAGTTAAAAACAGAGTAGGGGAGTTAGTAGATGGGGAGAGGGAGGTATTAGGTAGATGGCGAGAAATTTATTTTTATGAACTTTTAAATGTTGAGGAAGAAAGGGAGGCGGTAATTTCATGCACTGGCCAGGGAGGTATACCATCTTTTAGGAGTGAAGAAGAGCAGAATGTAAGTGTGGTGGAGGTACGCGAGGCATTACGTAGAATAAAAGGGGTAAAGCAGCTGGAACTGATGGGATCATGACAGAAATGTTAAAAGCAGGGGGGGATATAGTGTTGGAGTGGTTGGTACTTTTATTTAATAAATGTATGAAAGAGGGGAAGGTACCTAGGGATTGGCAGAGAGCATGTATAGTCCCTTTATATAAAGGGAAAGGGGACAAAAGAGAATGTAAAAATTATAGAGGAATAAGTTTACTGAGTATACCAGGAAAAGTATACGGTAGGGTTATAATTGAAAGAATTAGAGGTAAGACAGAATGTAAGATTGCGGATGAGCAGGGAGGCTTCAGAGTGGGTAGGGGATGTGTAGATAAAGTGTTTACATTGAAGCATATATGTGAACAGTATTTAGATAAAGGTAGGGAAGTTTTTATTGCATTTATGGATTTAGAAAAGGCATATGATAGAGTGGATATAGGAGCAATGTGGCAGATGTTGCAAGTATATGGAATAGGTGGTAAGTTACTAAATGCTGTAAAGAGCTTTTATGAGGATAGTGAGGCTCAGGTTAGGGTGTGTAGAAGAGAGGGAGAATACTTCCCGGTAAAAGTAGGTCTTAGACAGGGATGTGTAATGTCACCATGGTTGTTTAATATATTTATAGATGGGGTTGTAAATGCTAGGGTGTTCGGGAGAGGGGTGGGATTAAATTATGGGGAATCAAATTCAAAATGGGAATTGACACAGTTACTTTTTGCTGATGATACTGTGCTTATGGGAGATTCTAAAGAAAAATTCAAAGGTAGTGGATGAGTTTGGGAATGTGTGTAAAGGTAGAAAGTTGAAAGTGAACATAGAAAAGAGTAAGGTGATGAGGGTTCAAATGATTTAGATAAAGAAAAATTGGATATCAAATTGGGGAGGGGGAGTATGGAAGAAGTGAATGTTTTCAGATACTTGGGGGTTGAAAGTGTCGGCGGATGGATTTATGAAGGATGAGGTTAATCATAGAATTGATGAGGGAAAAAAGGTGAGTGGTGCGTTGAGGTATATGTGGAGTCAAAAAAAACGTTATCTATGGAGGCAAAAAAGGGAAATGTATGAAAGTATAGTAGTACCAACACTCTTATATGGGTGTGAAGCTGGGTGGTAAATGCAGCAGCGAGGAGACGGTTGGAGGCAGTGGAGATGTCCTGTTTAAGGGCAATGTGGTGTAAATATTATGCAGAAAATTCGGAGTGTGGAAATTAGGAGAAGGTGTGGAGTTAATAAAAGTATTAGTCAAAGGGCAGAAGGGGGGTTGTTGAGGTGGTTTTGGGTCATTTAGAGAGAATGGACAAAGTAGAATGACATGGAAAGCATATAAATCTATGGGGGAAAGGGAAAGGGAGGGGTAGGGGTCGTCCTCGAAAGGGTTGGAGAAGAGGGGTAAAGGAGGTTTTGTGGGTAAGGGGCTTGGACTTCCAGCAAGCGTGCGTGAGCGTGTTAGATAGGAGTTTAATGGAGACGAATGGTACTTTGGGGCCTGACGATCTGTTGGAGTGTGAGCAGGGTAATATTTAGTGAAGGGATTCAGGGAAACCGGTTATTTTCATATAGTCGGACTTGAGTCCTGGAAATGGGAAGTACAATGCCTGCACTTTAAAGGAGGGGTTTGGGATATTGGCAGTTTGGAGGAATATGTTGTGTATCTTTATATGTGTATGCTTCTAGACTGTTGTATTCTGAGCACCTCTGCAAAAACAGTGATAATGTGCGAGTGTGGTGAAAGTGTTGAATGATGAATATATTTTCTTTTTGGGGATTTTCTTTCTTTTTTGGGTCACCCTGCCTCGGTGGGAGACGGCCGACTTGTTGAAAAAAAAAAAAAATGTATAGGACTCATAAGTAGGGTTCACTACTATCCACGGTTTCGGTATCCGCGTCAGGTCCTTCGGAAGTATTCCCTGCAGATACGGGGGTCCTACTGTCTAGTACTGTTAGTTCAGTTATTATACCCCAAATGTTTTATAAAAGTAGGCCTAAATCAAGCTTTATTTTATAAAAGCTAAAGCTTAGGCAGTCCAGCACAACAAAGCCTAGGGCATTCAATTTTGAGAATTTCCTGAAGATAGGCTAAACAGTTTGTGCTTAATAACAAATACCCTAACACCCTCTGAAAACCATTAATCCTATTGTTCCTTCAAAATTAACTGACTCAGTTTTGTGCAGATAGGTTGCACGTGCTTAACATTGTTGTACAAACTGGTTCACGAGCAACGCTTGTCGAAATGTTACCTTCATAATGCCTCATGTAGTTGGTCTCAAATTTTAGATGTGATTGAAATGGTGAGTTGCAGGCCTCTTGAGAGTGTTGGGCTACAGCTCCTTCACCTCTTGAGCATGTTGGCTTACATTTTACAAGCCACCGGAATACGTTGAGTTATAGCTCCTAGGCCTCTGGAGGGTGTTGAGGGTGTTCCTGGGCCTTTGAAGTGTGTTGAGTTACAGCTTTTAGGCCTCTGAAAGGATGTAAGGGGCCTGGGTAACTGGATGCAGAAGATACCTGCATTTTATCAGTACACTGATATGATGCCAGTTCCCTGGGTCTGTTTTGTTCATGAGGCAGCTCAGTGCAGTGATAGTGAGGGAGCTTGGTACAGTGATAGTGAGGCAGCTTGGTACAGCGATAGTGAGGCAGCTTGGTACAGTGATAGTGAGGCAGCTTAGTATGAGTGTTGATGACCATTTCAGCAAGAAGGCAGTGCAGTCAGCAAAGGAATTGGACAGATTGGGTTGTCAACATCACAGAAATGTACTACTGTCCTAGGTCGCAGACCATAGGTATGTCGTTGGATAGGAAGATAATCATTGGTTGCATCAGCAGAGGTAGGAGTAGTAGAAGGCTGTTGCTAGTGTCAGTCTGGTTGTGCTGTCACAATGCATTAATCAGAGAAGAAATGTGTATCATACCCTTTATATGTATGCTCGCATCTGTGTGTGTGTTATGGGGTTTAATAGAAACAGTGGTAGCAAAGGAAACAACTGTTGACTTTTATGGAGGCATTGTATGGATAATTGTGGCAGAGCCCACCCTGTCCATGTGCTAGGTCTGGATGAGAGTGAGGGAGAAGCCCCCGGCCGATGACCTAAGTGCGTTGTTCCAAAGGGGGTCACATGACTAGGCTTGGCTAGGGAATCTGCCTATAAAATAGAGCTATAACACTATATACTACATAAGTATTACACTGTTGACGTGTCCCCTCACACCCATTGTTCAGATTCATACTACTATTTTTAGATGAGAGGAAAAAGGTGAGTGGTGCACTTAGGAGTCTGTGGAGACGAAGAACTTTGTCCATGGAAGCAAAGAGGGGAATGTATGAGAGTATAGTTATACCAATGTTCTTATATGGATGTGAAACATGGGTGGTGAATGTTGCAACAAGGAGAAGGCTGGAGGCAGTGGAGATGTCATGTCTGAAGGCAATATATGGTGTGAATATAATGCAGAGAATTCGTAGCTTGGAAATTAGGAAGAAGTGCAGGATTACCAAAACTATTATCCAGAGGGATGAGGAGGGGTTGAGGTGGTTCAGACATGTAGAGAGGATGGAAGGAAATAGAATGGCTTCAAGAGTGTACAAATCTGTAGTGGAGGGAAGGTGGGGTAGGGGTTGGCCTAGGAAAGGTTGGAGGGAGGAGGTAAAGCAAGTTTTGTGTGCTAGGGGCTTTGACTTCCAGCAAGCATGCATGAGCGTGTTAGATAGGAGTGAATAGAGACAAATGGTTGTTAGGACTTGACGTGCTGTTGGAGTGTGAGCAAGGTAACATTTATGAAGGGATTCAGGGAAACTGGCAGGCTGGACTTGAGTCCTGGAGATGGGAAGTACAGTGTCTGCACTCTGAAGGAGGGGTGTTAATGTTGCAGTTTTATACTGTAGTGTATGCATGTCTCTGGCAAGACAATGATGGAGTAAATGATGGTGAAAGTTTTTCTTTTTCAGGCCACCCTGCCTTGGTGGGAGACGACCGATGTGTTAATAAATAAAATAATATAATTTGTAAAACCATTTGTAGATTCCTAAATAAAAACTGGCTTGGTTAGTATGATATACAGCTTAAAGTTTCCAGATACATCAACTCTGCAATTACTAGATCAGCAACTCACAACACATACACAATTTTTTCTACTTTTAATTTTTTTTAACACTGGCTGTCTCCCACTTAGGTAGGGTGATCCGAAAAAAGAAGAAACACTCTCACCATCGTTCGCTTCATCACTGTCTTGCCAGAAGTGTGCCGATACTACAGTTCAAAACTACAATATCCCCTCCCCTTCTTTAGAGTGTAGGCACTGTACTTACCACCTCTAGGACTCGAGTCCAGCTAACCAGTTTCCCAGAATCCCTTCATAAATGTTACCTTCCTCACACTCCAAACAGCTCAAGTCATAAAAACCACTTGCCTCCACTCACTTCTATCTACCACTCTCATACATGCTTGCTGAATGTCCAAACCACTTGCATACAAAATATTTTATTAATATATCTGGTATGTTTTTAAATATATTGGTAAAATATTTTGTATAATATAAATTTCCTGGCATTAGGCTATTGTAATCATCATGTTCCATTTTTTGTAAATGCCTTAGATAATTATATGGTAAAGCATTTCTCATCTGATACAGTATTAGAAGTTGACACCGGAATTGGTAGAGTTAAAAAAGTTTTTGAGAAAAGACTGCAGGGCAGTATCATCTTTTGTAATAAAATAAATGAGTTTGATTTAATGTTTTTTATATTTATCATGATCATTTATAACTTAAAAATTTCCAAAATTAATTTATTTATCCTTATTTTACCAGGTTTGACAGCAGAAGTGAATGGCTCCATCAGTCGTAGTGTTCCAGCTCATGGTCTTAATGGGGGAGTCTTCCCACACTGTGTCCAGTCTGCTCTTGTCACTAATAAAGCCCTCCCTGTACTTACAAATGGTGCAACTACTACTAATTTGTCTTGTGTAACCACTGGAAATGGACATGCACTTGCTACCAATGGTGATGGCAGCAGTGGTACATGCAGTTCATCTAATGGCTATTACGGATTTCAGCCTGCAAAATGTCAAGATAATGGGCAAGTGAATGGCCAAGCAAATAATTTCATTGATGGCCAAAACATGCAATCTGACATGGATTGTGACATGGAGACAGACATGACTCCAGTTAATGATAACTGCAATGGAACTGCAGTCAATCACACACAGGGCTCTGAGTCCAGCTTTACTAATGTCACTGTAAATGGTTCTCAGTCTGAACCAATGAATGGCCATGCAGATAACATCACAGTTGGTTTTACTAATGGACATGTAATTGGAACTGTTCTTGGATTTGCAAGTGGCCACACTCTTGGAAACATGGCCAGTGTCACTAATGGCCAGAGTGCTAAAGTAATCCCTGGTATTACAAGTGAAAATAATCTAAATGGCACAGATGAATGTACATTAAAAGCACACAGTAAGATAGGAGAAGACGTTACCCTTAACCCTGGAGTTTCACAAAACCACATTCCAATAGCAGGCTGCAAAAGATCAAGAGAAGAAGGATTTATTCCAGAGATGAAGCGCATGAGAACTGAGGGTAAGAAATCATCTGTTTTGTTGAGTGAGAGTTTCATTAGGCTGAAAATGTCTCAAGGGTTACTGTGTGCAATTGTAAATTTGTTGATAAGGTAAAATGTAGTTGTGGTATGGATGATAAGTATGCATGTGATGTGAAATGTTTACCACAGCCTCTCTCCCTAACACATGGCATATATTTAACCACTACCCTCCTCCTCTTACTTTCTCAGGAGTCACTGCAAAGTGAACCAAGTTTGGACTTACTATTATGAGAACTTCATAAAAATATAAATATTTTTATCTCTGTGAATAGAGAATTTGATTGTAGAAACAATTGTGAATAACAGTACATAAATTACTTACTGAATGTTCTTATATTTGAGCAGACTGGAACCATTTTTCACTTCAACTTATTTGACTGTATTTTGTAATAGGCATCCTAAGAAATATACTATGAAATAGTTTATTTTAAATGCAATATGCAATTTCATCCCAGCAAACTGATGCCATATTTATAGTTAATAATTTTCCAGGCTTGCTAAATAAATCTGCACATTCTTATGATTATGTAAGATGTTTTGCTCAGCTTATAAAAAACTTTATGCTGATGTTTATATACAATACATTCTTGCTAAAGTATGAATGAAGTATTGCAGCATCAAATTAAAAGTTAAGGTACATATGGTGTACTATTATGTTAATGGTATAACTGTGGCTGTAGCTGTAGTGGTGGTGAAAGAACTTTAGATAAAAAACAGTTTTATCAACAAAGTTTCTATAAATGGGTGTTGTAGGTAAGTACTGTAGCTCTAAGTTTACATTCCCTCTGATTCACATACTGGTAGTGTCTGATGCATGTACTGGTAGTCTCTGATTCACATAATCATAGTTTCTGATACATGTACTGGTAGTCTCTGATTCACATAATCGTAGTTTCTCATACATGTACTGGTAGTCTCTGATTCACATAATCGTAGTTTCTCATACATGTACTGGTAGTCTCTGATTCACATAATCGTAGTTTCTGATACATGTACTGGTAGTCTCTGATTCACATAATCGTAGTTTCTCATACATGTACTGGTAGTCTCTGATTCACATAATCGTAGTTTCTGATACATGTACTGGTAGTCTCTGATTCACATACTGGTAGTTTCTGATACATGTACTGGTAGTCTCTGATTCACATACTGGCAGTCTCTGATACATCTACTGGTAGTCTCTGATTCACATAGTGGTAGTTTCTGATACGTGTACTGGTAGTCTAATTCATTGACTGGTAGTCTCGGATACATCTACTGGTAGTCTCTGATTCACGTACTGGTAGTTTCTGATACATGTACTGGTACGTTCTTGTGTGCTTAGATTAACCTCACCTTATAAATATTTGTAGGTGAAAAAGGCACACAAGCAATAATTGGAAACTTGTTTAAGGCAACATTTTGCCTGCACAGCAGGTGTTTACAAATCTGATTTTTTGTGTGTGCATAGTGTATATACCTGGAACATACCTGGAGAGGGTTTCGGGGTCAATGCCCCCATGGCTTGGTCTGTGACCAGGCCTCATGGTGGATCAGGGCCTGATCAACTAGGCTGTTACTGTTGGCCACACGCAACCCGATGTACAAACCACAGTCCGGCTGGTCAGGTACAGACTTTGGGTGCCTGACCAGCGCCTTCTTGAAGACAGCCAAGGGTCTATTGGTAATCCTTCTTATGTATGCTGGGAGGCAGTTGAACAGTCTAGGGCCCCTCACACTTATTGTGTTGTCTCTTATCATGCTAGTGGCACCCCTGCTTTTCATTGGGGAATGTTGCATCATCTGCCGAGTCTTTTGCTTTCATAAACATTTTCTAGGTCAGCAATTTCACCTGCCTTGAAAGGTGCTGTTAGTGTGCAGCAATATTCCAGCCTAGATAGAACAAGCGACCTGAAGAGTGTCATCATGGGCTTGGCATCCCTAGTTTTGAAGGTTCTCATTATCCATCCTGATCATAATTATAATGATGTAGTGTTCTATGACTTGCCCTGGCCTACACAATAGACTCATAAGTCAGATAGATACCATGGTAAAAATGGGCACAAATTTTCACATGCCAGACATCAGCTGTACAAAATGTAGTTGACTCACTCCCAGAAGGTAGTGATTCCATGGTGCAGTCATGAATTCTGTGTGAAAATTAAGAGAAGTCTAACATACTTTAATTATACTGAATAGGATGTTGCAAGGTTCCATATTTGAACATTAATTGTGAAATATTAATGCAATGTATATGGAATAGGTGGTAAGTTTTAGTAACTTACCACCTATTCTGTAAAGAGTTTTTATGAGGATAGTGAGGCTCAGGTTAGGGTGTGTAGAAGAGAGGGAGACTACTTCCCAGTAAAAGTAGGTCTTAGACAGGGATGTGTAATGTCACCATGGTTGTTTAATATATTTATAGATGGGTTTGTAAAAGAAGTAAATGCTAGGGTGTTCGGGAGAGGGGTGGGATTAAATTATGGGGAATCAAATTCAAAATGGGAATTGACACAGTTACTTTTTGCTGATGATACTGTGCTTATGGGAGATTCTAAAGAAAAATTGCAAAGGTTAATGGATGAGTTTGGTGTCAGCATAGTTGCTGATCCCTGTGGGAGTGTGTGTAAAGGTAGAAAGTTGAAAGTGAACACAGAAAAGAGTAAGGTGATGAGGGTATCAAATGATTCAGATAAAATTGGATATCAAATTGAGGAGGAGGAGTATGGAAGAAGTGAATGTTTTCAGATACTTGGGAGTTGACATGTCGGCGGATGGATTTATGAAGGATGAGGTTAATCATAGAATTGATGAGGGAAAAAAGGTGAGTGGTGCATTGAGGTATATATGGAGTCAAAAAATGCTATCTATGGAGGCAAAGAAGGGAATGTATGAAAGTATAGTAGTACCAACACTCTTATATGGGTGTGAAGCTTGGGTTGTGAATGCAGCAGCGAGGAGGCGGTTGGAGGCAGTGGAGATGTCCTTTCTAAAGGCAGTGTGTGGTGTAAATATTATGCAGAAAATTCGGAGTGTGGAAATTAGAAGGTGTGGAGTTAATAAAAGTATTAGTCAGAGGGCTGAAGAGGGGTTGTTGAGGTGGTTTGGTCATTTAGAGAGAATGGATCAAAGTAGAATGACCTGGAGAGCATTTAAATCTGTAGTAGAAGGAAGACGGGGTAGGGGTTGTCCTCGAAAAGGTTGGAAGGAAGGGATAAGGGTGGTTTTGTGGGCGAGGGGCTTTGACTTCCAGCAGGCGTGCATGAGCGTGTTCGAGAGGAGTGAATGGAGACGAATGGTATTTGGGACCTGACGATCTGTTGGAGTGTGAGCAGGGTAATATTTAGTGAAGGGATTCAGGGAAACCAGTTATTTTTATATAGCCAGAATTGAGTCCTGGAAATGGGAAGCACAATGCCTGCACTCTAAAGGAGGGGTTCGGGATATTAGCAGTTTGGAGGGATATGTTGTGTATCTTTATACGTATATGCTTCTAAACTGTTGTGTTCTGAGCACCTCTGCAAAAACAGTGATTATGTGTGAGTGAGGTGAAAGTGTTGAATGATGATTAAAGTATTTTCTTTTTGGGTCACCCTGCCTCGGTGGGAGACGGCTGACTTGTTGAAAAAAAAAAAAGTGCAATGGAATTTTTTTTAGTGGCTGTCTTGCCAGAAGAAAACAGGCTCATAAGTTGGGGTGTGGGGTTTAAAGTTGGATGATTGAATGTTCAATAATCTTATCTTCAAGGATTTTGAGGAACCTGATGTATTTTCCATTAATCTGTGATGCTGCAGTGCCATCTTGGAACAATCTGATTGAGATGCAAAGCAGTGAGTTGTTCCTTGAGAAGAAACAGTTGATGCAGCAGGGAGATAATTTATTGTCACTGTTTGTAGATTCATGATCATCAGCACAAAATGTGCTCATTATTAGAGGATGCTGGGTGGAAGGCATCTGTCATACTTTACTGTTCAAAGTAACACCCTACTCTAGTAGATTTGTCAAGAGACAAAAAGTTATGTTGGTCTGGTAACTCAAAGTGGGATGTCTCAGGATTCCCTAAAGCTACTGGCTGCATCCTAAGTACCTTCTAGGATTATGTGGTGGAAGGATTTCTATCCTTGGTCCCTCTTTTCCATGTAATCTTGAGTACCAGGTTTGTTGGACATTTTTGGCTATTGATGAATTAACCCTTTTGGTGTTGGCTTTGTTGTGTAACGCCTCTAAAGCCAGTGTTGGTCCCGTAGTACAACGCCATGAGCTCAGCTCACTCAGATAAGCTGTGAGCGGTAAATTTGGGCCTAGATATGTGAGAATGAGTCTGTGCAGTAAGTGTGCATCATAAAAAAACATCCTGCAGCATTCAGTTCATAATGAGAAAAGCTGCAACTTTGTTTTTTGTTTAAAACAGTGACACTGCAGTGTATTTTCATGTGATTTTTATGGTTGTATTCTCGGCTTCTTGGTCTCATTTGATAGAATGGAAAATACATTACAGAAATAGAGATGATTTTGATTGGTTTCAGGACTGAAAGTAGTTCAAAATTGAGTTCAAAAGTAGCAGAAATGCTTGATTTTTGCTGATATTCCAGAGTACACTTTGTCCAATATCCATCCAGCTTGCCAGTCTAATATGCATTTAGGAATGCACTGACATTATTTATACAATTATTACAATAATGCAGTAGTATGCATAACAGTAAGTCTTCTATTTTTTGTGTGAATAAAAATTCAAAATGGAAAGCAAGCGTAATATAAGAGGGGCTTGAAGACATGACTAGGAACAGAAATTCTTTTTTAGGTCCAGGAATCTCTACATTGTTTATTCTGGACCCAATTTTTAAATTGGCAAATTACCGATTTCTGATCACATTATTAAGTAGCTAAAGTAGGTAAATGGGCAATTTTTTGTACTTAATTGATAGATTAAAAGAAATACTAGTGAAGTAGCTATGAGTTTGGTCAACTGGAACAATGGAATTGGCCAAAAATAGGGTGCAAAGTGGGAGAAATCACCAATACGTAAATAACGCTGAGACTGCTAACTTTGCAAGAGCGTAGTTTTGTAATTTTTCCATCAAATTATGTATTTTTTGTTTCATTACCCTCAGAAAAAGATTCTCTATCATTTCATAAAATAAAATAATTTTTTGAAAATTCTTTGGCCCTCAGAGCAGGGGGTCATGTACCTGAAAGGGTTAATACAGCTAAGCATAAAAAACAGACAGAGAAGTAAAATAAATACACAGTACATATAATGCCTACCTGAAAATATGACGCCAGGCCGGGTGGCCTGGTGGCTAAAGCTCTCGCTTCACACACGGAGGGCCTGGGTTTGATTCCCAGCGGGTTTCCTTACACCTGTTGTCATCAAGTAGCAAATAGATACCTTGGTGTAGTCGACTGGTGTGGGTTGCATCCTGGGGGACAAGATTGAGTACTGCAATGGAAATAAGTTACAGTCCTCGATGACGCACTGACTTTCTTGGGTTATCCTGGGTGGCTAACCCTCTGGGGTTAAAAATCCGAATGAAATCTCTCTCTTCCCTTCTGAAATTATTGTATAGACCAGAGAGATAGAGATTGCACAGCTCACTCAGAGAGGAAGAGCAAGGGGTGAGCATAGTGCCTAGCATATCACCAGTCTGTCATGTCAGCCAAATAACCTGCTCATATAGAGTAGCATCCAGGAATGTAAACAAGTCATTCTGGGCACTTTATACAATATGTGTCATTCCCATCTTGTCATCTTGTAATGTGCAACACCGACATGGAACCCGCAACTGAAAAAGCATAAGAAGAAATTGGAGAAAGCACAAAGCTATGCAGTGAGACTAGTTCCAGAGCTAAGGGGTATGAATTATGAGAAAAGGCTAACAGAAGTGAATCTTAATGATATTATAGAACATAAGAACTAGGGAAGACATGATAACAGCATACAAAGTACTGTACTTAAAAGAACTGATAAGGTAGACACGGATAGGCTATTGGAGAGTTGTGATGTGAGGAGGTATTTCTTCAGTCTCAGAGTGGTTGGAAAGTGGAATGACCACACATAGTTGTAAGAGCAGTTACAACAGGCCCATGAGGCTAGTAGAAAGTGATCTGGCAAGCAGCAAGCTAAAAGGTGGGACCTAGGAGTTAAGACTCAATGCCTGCATCCACATATAGGTGAGTACATATAGATGAGTATATCTATACACATTTTAATTTTATATGCATACCTTACTGTCTGAAACATTCTTTGTGTATTTCTGTGAAAATCTCAAATATTGCATTTGTTTCTATGAATAACCCACTTATATACTGAACCACATTTTATTTGTTTTTAATCCTTGTATGTTAGCAAAAAAGAAGGTAGTTCTAGTTGGAACTTTTGGATTAGTGGATTTGTTAATACATTTGATACTGTTCCATCTTGTAATGTAGTACTTTGTATACAGTAGGGCCCCACTTATACAGCGGGTTAGGTTCCAGGCTACCATCATAAAGTGAATCACCCTTTTTCTTCCCCTTATAAATGCATGAAAGTACCTGATAACATGTTTACACTATGATATATTAAGTTGCGAATAGAACTCGGCATAAAATGACAATAAAAAATTAAAATGCATATACAATACATTTATTTCTTAGCTTAAAATATTTGTAGTCTTAATGCAATGTGAGAGGTGAATAGTATTTATTGTAGGAAGTTAGATGATGACACATCATCATCCTCTGACTTCACAGATAATTTTATTCATTTTAATGAACTTAGTGAAGCTTGCAGGTTGGGTTCTTTGATGGTGAGGTCTTAGCTTAGCTGTTGTCATGAGTAGTTCTGCTAGCAGTTGAGTGTGAAGGTATTGGACTGTGTGATGGTGAAGGCTCTTCAAGGCTAGCTGTTGTCATTGAAGGTAGTTCATGGCTAGCTGTTGATGTTGAAGGTTGTTCAAGGCTAGCTGTTGATGTTGAAGGTAGTTCAAGGCTAGCTGTTGATGTTGAAGGTAGTTCAAGGCTAGCTGTGATTTGAAGGTATAGCTAGCTGTGATTGAAGGTAGTTCAAGGCTAGCTGTTGATATTGAAGGTAGTTCAAGGCTAGCTGTTGATGATTGAAGGTTTTCAAGGCTAGCTGTTGATGATGAAGGTTTTTATAATACTTTCTTAAAGTAGGGGAGCATTGAACTTTGCCTCATGGATTTTTTTTTCTCCTTTCCCTTAAAATTTCTTTATAGCATGTAACATCGTTGAAAAGGGTTGCATTCAATTTTGAACTTTTCAAAATCTGGATCAGTCTTCTCAAAAATTGGCATTGCCATTTCTACATGGTTGATAGCTTCTTCCAAATCCTTGGATGTCATTTCTTTAACTCTTTGACTGTTTTGGTCGTATATATACGTCTTACGAGCCACCGTTTTTGATGTATATGTATACTCGTAAATTGTAGCGGCTTCAAATCAAGCAGGAGAAAGCTGGTAGGCCTACATGTGAGAGAATGGGTCTGTGTGGTCAGTGTGCACCATATAAAAAAATCTTGCAGCACACAGTGCATAATGAGAAAAAAAAAACTCCGACCGTTGTTTTTTTTTTTTAATTCAAATGCCGACTTTGTGGTCTATTTTCGTATAGTATTTATGGTTGTATTCTCGTTTTCTTGGTCTCATTTGATAGAATAGAAAACATATTATAGAAATAGAGGTGATGTTGATTGGTTTTACTATGAAAAGAACCTTGAAATGGAGCTCAAAGTAGGGGAAATGTTTGATTTTTGCCAGTGTTCAAAAGTAAACAAATGATGTCATTTTCCAATAAATGTACAAGTAGCCATTCTAATATGCAGTCATGAATGGGATGATATTATTTATACAATTATTACAATATTGCAGTGTCTCTCATAACATAAATCTTCTATTTTTTGTTTGAATAAAAAATCAAAATAGAATACAGAGTATTTCAGAGGGCCTGGAGACGTGACTGATAAACAAAGAAAATGTTATTTTAGAGTCAGGAATGTCTGCATTGTTCATTCTGGACCTTATTTTGAAATTGTCATATTTTTTTAATTTGCGTGAAATTGGCCAAATTGCAAATTTCTGACCATGTTATTGGGTAGTTGAAATTGGTAAATGGGCAGTTTCTTGTACTCAATTGATAGTAAAAATGGAATTCTAAAGAAATAGCTATGAGTTTGGTCGACTGGAACAATTGAATTAGCCGAAAATAGGGCTGAAAGTGGGCGAAATTGCCGATTCGTAAATATCGCCAAGGTTGCTAACTTCGCAATAGCATAATTCCGTCAGTTTTCCATCAAATTTCATTCTTTTGGTGTCATTACAATCAGGAAAAGATTCTCTATTATTTCATAAGATTTTTTTTTTTTTTTTTTTTTTTTTTTTTTGAAATTTTGTGACATCGGAGACCCTCAGGATTTGGGGTTGCGACAGTCAAGGGGTTAATGTTGATAGGTTGCAGATGCTTTTTAACTTGTAGTGTAGACATGCCTCTGGCAAAACATGTTGAGTTGAATGATTGTGTCTTCTGTCTGTCTCTCTTCTGTCTCTGTCTCTCTCTCTGTCTCTCTCTCTGTCTCTCTCTCTTTCTTTCTCTCTTTCTTTCTCTCTTTCCCCCCCCCCCTTATGAAACAGTTCTCATTGTCCTTGTACTCAATTTCTCTATATACCCTAATTCTTGTGTTACATTGGGCACCTTAGCTCGCAGCATTATTTTCCACATCTTACTGTGAAAGTGCCCCAAAATTTGTTTTGTTCGGGAGTCAATATATTTATTTTGTCTCGTTTTTGCTGTTTTGATCATGTAAGTTTCTTCTCCAGTGTTTTTTATAGTTCCCACAAGTTATTCAAGAAAAAATATTTTGTTTTCATAGTTAGTGTTTCTCAATACATTTACTATGATAGCCCAAATGTATCGTGTGTTTTGCATATTCAGAAACATTTCTCGTGTTCAGTTTCATTGTTCACATGTACAGTGGAACCTCCACTTACGAGCGCATCCATGTGCGAGTTTTTCCAGATATGTGCAGTTGCTCAGTCGATTTTTTGTTTACATACGCGAGTGAAATTTCCAGATGCGAACTGGCCTCAGGGGAGGTTCCTTGACGCTGGTGAGGGGCTCTTGCTCTAGAGAATTGGATCTCGGTTGTTTGTTGGACTATCTTATTGAAACTTGGACAATGGTGGCCTGGTGGCTAAAGCTCCCGCTTCACACACGGAGGGCCCGGGTTCGATTCCCGGCGGGTGGAAACATTTCGACACGTTTCCTTACACCTGTTGTCCTGTTCACCTAGCAGCAAATAGGTACCTGGGTGTTAGTCGACTGGTGTGGGTCGCATCCTGGGGGACAAGATTAAGGACCCCAATGGAAATAAGTTAGACAGTCCTCGATGACGCACTGACTTTCTTGGGTTATCCTGGGTGGCTAACCCTCCGGGGTTAAAAATCAGAACGAAATCTTATCTTATCTCTTATCTTCTTAATGTACACCAAAAATGAAAGAAATCGGACCATTAATAACGGAGTTCACTTTTCTGCCATTAGCCTCCCCTTAGCGGTAATTTTTCATATGGTTTTTATGGTTGTATTCTTGTTTTTTTGGTCTTGTTTGATAGAATGGAAGATATACTACTGAAATAGATATGATTTTGATTGGTTTCATGATGAAAAGTACATACCTTGAAATTGAGCTCAAAAGTAGCAGAAATGTTCGATTCCTTGGCGATGTTCAAGAGTAAATAAATGACGTCACTATCCAATACCTGTCCGATTGGCACTGCCCCTCTACCTTCACATACTGGAAAGCTCCTCAACACACTAACAAAAGTGGGAGCAGACATCATAAGGTAGCAGTGGCAGACAACATGAAGCAGCAGTGGCAGACATGAAGCAGCAGTGGCAGACATGAAGCAGCAGTGGCAGACCTTGTACCTTGAAAACAACCTTGTTGTACCCTGGTAGCAACCTTGTTGTACCCTATACTATAAATGAGTTTCCGAATGCCACCATGAGATGGCAGTATGCATCAAAACAACGCTCAGTCCACTCCACTCACGGTGGAGGGAATTCTCATCATAGAACTAGATGGAGGGTTAAGGACAGTACCAGCATGCCACTTCTACGATATGTACAATACTAAAGCAGAAGTAGTCAGTGAGAAGGTTTAGCATTAAGAGTGTAGTAATTAAGTGTAGCATTAAGAGTGTAGGAATTATAAGTCACTCTGTCTGACTTTTTTGGGTTATCCTAGGTTCTCTACACGTGTAGTCAGGAGCAGGAATGGTTGATGTGGTTACCCTATAAACCCCAACAACAACAATGGCCGCTGTCACCACCACTAGCCACATACGTAATGACATGTATTTTATTCATTCTAGTGTATATATCATGTATCTGTGTTGTTAATTTTGTTTATTATGTCATATTAGATGAATTGTGATAAATAAATAAGCCATAAAGTTGATATTAGGGAAATTATTGAAGTATTTTGTCATGCCTGGAATTCCAGGCACGAGGAAAATTGACTCTGCAAATGAGCAAATCCAGATGTGAGCAAGGTCACGGAACGGATTAAACTCAGGAGTGGAGGTACCACTGTTCTTATTTCAATACAGGCTACATGATGCCTTCTGTTGCATATTTCACATTGTACATATCTAATGTTTCTAATTAATTCTTGTTTTTATTTACCACACATTTTTATAATGGATGGTGTTTCTGACAACTTGTGATAGGAAGACCGTGATTACTTATGATAATCCATGGTCTCGGGATTTTATATTTGTCACGTTTACACAAACAATATAAAACAATACTCATTTAATCACATTCTAGATTACCAAATAACAGTGAAGACACAGTACAATACAATAACAATGTTTGTTTTTTAATTTGACTGTTAGTGTTGCTCACAGCATGTGATGTTGTTTGCTTATGATGTCTAGTTTTAATTGGAAAATGGAGAACCGAGAGAAGCTGATGGAATTGGATGAAAATCTGTGAAATCTGCAGTTATAGAACTAGGTGGTTGAGTTTCCTTCAGATTGGTTTGAGACTTTGTTTTCAGGTACTGCCAGTCAATAGACTGGCAGTATCTGAAAATTAGATGCCATTCTCTTGGAGTCAAATTTTTTAGGTGGAGGAAGTTCAAAAATCATCTTCAGTAGCATTAATTTCAACATTTTCTTCTTGCACTTCGTAAGTTTATGATCTCTCATATATTTTCAAGTCTCCACCCCAAGGTCAGACTGTTCTGCCATATGTTTTTATCACACTGCGTATGATCCTAACCCTAGAAAAATTATGTACTATACCACCAGAGTGATTCATTTCTTCCAAATATCATTCATGTTTCCCTGCTGGATTTTATTAAAAACTTCTTAATGTAATTAATGGCTGAGTAGTTGTTATATTCCTGCAAAACTAGACTTGCATTAATTGCTTCATGATCAGATGTATCTTCCTTATCACATAACCTTAGTTTCCTGTTTCCACAGTCTAAAAATCAGACCAAATCTTCCTTAAAATAAGACACCAGCCTTAAGAGTGTAAAGCCAGTCAAGGAGGCATGCTCTGGTTATTGCACTGAAGCCAGTGTCACACTTTCTCTAATAAACATGGCAGTTTGGGTCTTTCACAGCCTAATAACGATGTGAAACTTTCCCAGAGCAAAATACACCAGAGCTGACAGCTTAAAGGTGATCAAAGGAGGCATTCACCAGTTACTGCAAGGAGACCAATAATACCCAATTTTTTATTTAATTTTTTAGCCATATCAGCCTTCTCCAAACAAGGGAGGGTGACACACAGACACACACAGACACACACAGACACACACACAGACACAACACACAGACACACACACAGACACACACACAGACACACACACAGACACACACACAGACACACACACAGACACACACACACACACACACACACACACACACACACACACACACACACACACACACACACACACACCACACACACACACACACAGACAAACAGAGACAGACACACAGACACACACAGACACACAGACCACACACACACACACACACACACACACACACACAGACACACACAGACACACACAGACACACACAGACACACACAGACACACACAGACACACACAGACACACACACAGACACACACACAGACACACACACAGACACACACACAGACACACACACAGACACACACACAGACACACACACACACACACACACACACACACAACACACACACACACACACACACACACACACACACACACACACACACATACATACATACATTCACTAACATGTGCACTTACACTCTAAAGGGAAATATACACCATTTTTTGTTCAGTAGTTATTTTTCTAGAAATGCACAGACATCACAACTCAAATAACCCTCAGAACTGCAACATTCCCACCCATCCACAATAGTGCACTGTACTACCCACCTCTAGGACTCAGGTTTAGCTAGCTGGTTTCTCTGAATAACTTCATAAATGTTACCTTGATTATACATCAATAAGTCAAATCTCTGAAACCACCTGTCTCCACACACTGTTATAATACTCTTACACAAACCTGCCAGATGCCCAAGTTCCTATTAATTAAAACCACATGCACATCCTCCATGGGATGATCTTTAACCCTCCTATATTTATACTCTCTCTTGGTCATATTCTTTTCCATTCTCTCAGAATGCCCAAACTACCTCAGCATCCCCTCTTCACATTTGACTTGTACCTTTTTTTCACCCCATATTGTCTTATAATTTCTATGCTCCAACTTATTTGCACAATTTTATGTTAGAAAATTGGCATATTTTAACTTACGAATGCAAAACTATAGATAATCTTTCTTTAAGTAATATACATTAGTTGTTAAAGTTTGAAGCCATATAGAAGAGGCATTCTCAAGTTCTTGCATGAAAAAAAAATGACAAAAGTTTAAAAAGTTGGTAAATTGGTACTTACGTGCACCAGTAACAATTTGAACCACCTTCTAAGATGCACCAATTTTGAAAGTTTGATGGTGATCAGAAAAGGCATTTGCAAGTTATACAGTGGAACCTCGGCTTTGGTGATTAATCTGTTCTAAAAAGTTTGACGAAAATCGAATCGTACGAAAACCGAAGCAATATTTCCCATAAGAAATAATGTAAATCCAATTAATCCATTCAAGACACCGACTTGTTGAAAAAAAAAAAAAAAAAAAAACTATAGTTTTACATGCAGAAAACAATGAGAAATAAATATAAATGACTAATGAAATGGATAAATGAACATTTAGATCACTTTTACCTTTATTGAAGTCTTGTTGATGTATGGAAGACGGAGAGGAGTGGGAGGAGGAGACTTTAATTGTTTGGAAGGGGAATCCCCCTTCCAGGTATCAAGGCCCTTCTTTGTCTTTTACTGGCACTAGGACCAGCTTGAGAGTCACTGTACCCCTGTTGCACAAAATATCTGTCCAGAGAGGTCTGTTTCTGGCATCTCTTTAAGATTTGCCTAAAATGGGACAAGGCATTGTCATTGAACATGTTGCAGACACAGCTTGCAACAGCTTTGTTAGTGTGATATTTCTCCACAAAACTTTGCAACTCACTCCACTTTGCACACATGTCCTTGATCACTGAAAAAGGCATATTCTCCCCTCTCTCTTCGTCCTATGAAGCAATTTCCTCAACTGCGGTCTGTTGTTCCAGTTGAAGGCCTTGCAGCTTTTCAGTGGTTAGCTCTTCCCTGTGGTCATCCACCAATTCTTCCACATCCTGGCCACTCACATCCAGCCCCATGGACTTCCCCAAAGACACAGTAGATTCCACAATAGGCATAGGGTCATCAGGGTCAGCCTCAAACCCTTCAAAATCCTTCTCGAGGACACATTCTGGCCACAATTTTCTCCAAGCAGAGATTGTCGTTCTGGAAGTCACTCCCTGCCAAGCCTTATCTATAATGCTTATGCAATTGAGGATATTGAAATGATTCCTCCAGAACTCTCTTAGGGTCAATTCAGTGTCCGAGGTCACTCCAAAGCAACTTTGAAACTGTGCTTTGGTGTAGTTTTTTTTTTTTTAAGTTTGAAATGACCTGCTGGTCCATGGGCTGGATGAGAGGAGTGATATTAGCAGGCAAGAACTTCACTGTGATGAAACTAAACTCCTCCAACAATTGGCCTTTTGAGTCTGGAGGATGAGCAGGAGCATTGTCCATTACCAGGAGGCACTTATGTGGCATTTGATTTTCCAGGAGGTATTTCTTCACACTTGGGCCAAATACTTCATTGACCCACTTAATGAAAATTTTCTGTGTGACCCATGCCTTTTTGCTAGCCTTCCACATCACACACAATTTACTCTTGATGACGTTGTTTTTCTTGAACACTCTAGGATTTTCAGAGCGATACACCAGTCAAGGCTTCACTTTGAAATCCTCACTAGCATTACCACAGAACAAGAGAGTTAGCCTATCCTTCATAGGCTTGTGTCCTGGCAGCGCCTTTTCCTCCTGCGTGATGTAGGTCCTCTTTGGCATTTTCTTCCAAAAGAGGCCTGTTTCTTCACAATTGAAGACTTGTTGGGGGAGGAATCCCTCAGCCTCTACGTACTCCTTGAATTCATCAACGAATTCTTCGGCCCCACGTTTGTCCGAACTTGCAGCCTCGCCATGCCTTACCACACTGTGTATGCCAATCCGCTTCTTGAATTTGTCGAACCAGCCTCTGCTAGCCTTAAATTCACTAACAGCAGCACTTGTTCCAGGCATTTTCTTTGCGACATCTGCATGCAACTGCCTTGCCATTTCACAAATTATCGCCTCCAAAACACTATCTCCCCACTGTTTTTCGTTGAGCCACAACAACAACTCAACATCTTCGATTGTTTGCGATCTCTGTTTTGTTAGCACATTGACCCCTTTTGCAACATCAGCTTCCTTGATTTCTTTTTTCTTCGCCAGGATGGAACTGATCGTTCATGCGGACTTCCTGTACATCCTGGCGAGATCAGCCACACGTACACCACTTTTGTACTTTGCTACAATTCTTTCTTGAATTCTATCGCGTTTCTTGCCTTCTTTATCAAAGGGCTGGCACTCGGAACTTTCTTTGGCCCCACGGTGGCTTATTTAGCAGTCGCACTCAATAAACAAGCATAAAAAACAATGGATTATTACAAAATGTTTCAGATGAACGCGCGGGGTGATGCTCACTCAATGAGAAACAAAGGCAGACTGAGTCACGAACCCGTGGGATGCTTTGTGTGGGCATTTGAGTGGCTGAGTCACGCAGACACGTTTGGTACAGACCATCTTAAACTCTATGAAAACTGAGCGGATGTACAAAAACTGGGACAAAATTTCGACGAAAAAAGCCGTTGAAACTTAATCCTACGAAAACTGGGGCATACGAAAACTGAGGTTCCACTGTAGTGTGGAAACATTGGAGGAAATAAAAAAAAGGGTAAAATAAAAAGTTCTGACATTCACTTTAGGTATCCGTTTAGGGTGATACCTAGTTCCTTGAGGCTACCACTTCTTTCACTGTCTATACCATTAAGTGCTTCTCCATATGTACACTTTGCTTAATAAATCTTCAGTGACTTTATAACATGTTGGTCCATGGGCTGTAATATGCAGGTTGTATTTGGTGGAAGAAGCTCATTCTCGACATCAGGATGAAAATTATTTAAATTACTTAGTTATCAAGTGAAATCCTGTAGGAAAACTTTTCAGTTTCAAAAGTTTCACCTTGGGTAGAAAATGATAAAAATCCACTGATCCAAAAATTTCAGGATTACCCAAGGGTTAGTTGACAGCCATATAACAGACAGATGAACTTTTCAATATTCTAAGGTTCTCTGCTTCATATATACACTAGAAGAAGCTAGGGCATCAAATCTTTAGCAACATTACCTCCAAGCAAAAGTAAAAATCAATCTTTCTTTAAACCCAGGTATAACTTTTTCCTCAGAGATGCATGTTCTGTCAAGCATCTCTTAAGGTAAATATTCGAGGTAATATTTATTTCCATTTTTATTAACAACACTGAAAGTTTTCATAAACTCGGCAGCTGCTGTTGTATCAGCACTTGCAGCCTCATCACTTATGCAAATTTTCTCTGGCCTTAAATTCATTGATCAATTAACGACTTTCAGTAAATAGTAGAATGTCACTGGCACTATTATTTAATAAGTTCTTTACATCAGTTAAAAGGCTCAAGGATATCACAATTAGCATAAGACTAAGAGGAAATCTTTTCTAACACTGGTCAATTTATTTTTAACACTTTGTTTCCCACTGAATAAACACTTTAATCATCACTCACTCAATCATTATCTTGATAGTCATGCCAGTACGTACTAGTTTAAAAACTGCAACACATCTCCATCTATACTTTGGAGTGCAGGCACTGTATTTCCCACCCCCACGGCTCATAAAGACAGCTAAACTGCCAGGAGCAGTAGATGACACTGGTCATCTATCCATATACATTCAAAAGTTTTTCAGTTTCACTACTCGTATCTTCTTGCCTTTTGGAAATAATTGTAGAATGCATGAATGTTGATCCTTTAATGTGTTGCAAGATATGTGATATGCTCTTTGTTCTTGGTTATTGGTATAATGGTAGTTGAATTTACATCGTACACTTGGGCGATGTCAGGGGGTTTTATTCTTTTTAGATTTTTAGTATGTCAAGTTTCATCTTAAATTATTGATTTCCTTTTCTGTGACACAGGGGTATCACTAGGACTGCTCTTGTGCTTTTGAGACATCATGAACAGCTGTTTTCTAAGTAAAAAGTTCAAAAATACAATGATAATGATGTGGCTGCAAACAATGAGCTAAATATGGTGGCACAATGTTTACTATGGGCTGCAACACTTCTGCTCCACCGCCCGCTGCATTCCACCTCCTCCGTCGTAAGTAGTCCGTGTTCAGAGCGGACCATTTTGGGACACTTGTATGGTGATTCGTTGTTCTTTAACTGGGGTAAAAGGGCTTACTTTGGGAAGCCAGTGGATGCTTAACCACCTTACAGGTTATTGTCTATGATCCAAGTAGGAGACACTTTCCTTTCTTCTGATGAACAAAACACAAACACAGTGGATAAGTTGATAATAATTTAATTGGTTCTTATGGGCTCAGTTTGTAATGCTGAATATCTTCGATGGTCATGTCAATAAAAATTTGGCTAATATACCGTACAGTGAGTGAGACTATTACTGGGGCATTAATTGATGGCAGGTGGAGGAAGTTAGGTTGGTTTCTGGTATAAGTGATTCCTAGGCCTAAGTGAGGTGCCTGGATAGCATGCAAAATTTAGAATCCGAACCTTGCCTACATTTTGTCAAGACAAGTATTTTCTGTAAAATAATTTGGTCCTAATATACAAAATAAGCACCATCAAAAACAAGGAAAAACGAATGTGCACTATTAAATACTTCGTTGTACAATATTACGAATAACTGATTTTCATCAAGGTGATGTGAATTTTTTTTTTTTTTCTTCTAATTTTTAACATTTTTTTTTTAATGATATATGAGTGCACATAAAAATTATTGGGCACTAACATTAAAGGATATGAGCCAGATATGAAATAAATTAGTTTGTAATTATCTGACCAACCGCGTTTATTTTGTGAAAATGACCATTTTTTACTGAGACCATCTTGATTTTTTCAAAATCACAGATGAAGCTCACATGGGATTTTATTGGACTTCATATACTGTTCAACTTGTAACATTATATCCATGTGTTAAAATAAATACAGTTGAACATTATTTTTTCAAGTTTGGTTAAATATTCTGCTCTACTGAAGCACCTATATGAAGCTACCAATCTTGTCAGTGTCCATCCATGGTGGTCTCAGGAGCTGGTCACTTTCTAATAACTCTTAAGAAGCATCACATAGCAAGTTGTTGTAGAAACTGCCATAGCCTTGCTCTCAACGATACTAACTTTGCACACGATCACTTTTTAAGCCATTTGCTCTAATGTTACTCATTAAGTTCTGCTAGCTGCTATTGATTGTTTCATTCTTTATATTATTCATTTATAGAATGAAGTACTAGACTGTATAGGTATTTTCTTAATAATCTTGGGATATGGTGTATTTCTGACTTTCTTCCTCCAGACAACTCACTAGAGACGACATCTAAGGAGGAAACTGTGAGCACAGTGATGGGTTCTGCTCACAGTGGTACTCACAGTGCCAACATGGAGACAGCTCACTCATTTAAGTGCCTAACTCATGAGCACACATCCCCTTCCTCAACACATCCACTCACTCCTCAAAATTCTATGTCAAAAGCACAAGAGCAGCAACAATGGATCTGGGTGGTTTAGAGTTGCTGGGGCTGATGGTGTTAAGTAAGTCTCAACCCAGATTCACATTGCTTTCTTCTAAAATAACTCAGGAAGAGAAATATTAATACTGTAGTGTCTGTCATGACCTAGACAGTAAAAGGCTAACAGAGTTGTGAGCAGTGCTGTACTAAGTACAGTGATACTGTACAGACCTTTAATTGGAAGATTAACATAAATGTGTACAAGGCCCACCATCCAGTCACAATAATTACCCTATATGTGGGGCTCCTGAATTCTGGATTTCAGTGTGGTCTGAGGTTAAGGTGTTAGATGTACAAGTTGTAAATTAGAATATTGTTCAAACTGAAACCCCGCACAGATAGTATTCTGGTCTACTCAAGTAATTTGTAGTGTTTATTTTCTCTCTCTTTCTTTTAATTGCTTTACATTTCAATCATAATTTTATCTGGAACCTACAATGTTACTTAAAAGTGTTCCTTACTTCATTAAATAGTTTACTATCTTAATAATTTAAAAATGTCAGCTTTGTATATAAGCTGATTTTTGCCAAATTTGTAAAAGAAAATTGTAAACTAGCTATATTTTCTCTATGCTTATCCTATGGTCCCAGAACCTTGGAGGAAAAGACTGGACGCAGAAGTATAGTTTCTGTTTCAAGCTTAGAGGGAGGATCGAGCCTCCATCACCCCTTGCCCTGAACATACCACATGGGAGCAGTACTTCACATAAATAAAAATAATAAAATCCAAAAATGGAATCTTTCTGTGTGGAAGAAGCCCCGTTTTAAAAAGTGTAAGGTTTGATGATTTTGATTTTCATGGCCTGTTATTTGTTATTTGCACGGTTCATTAAGACACATTAATAAGCTGTTCAGGTAATAAATGCATAAAATTTATTACTGTTATTGGCATTTGGAATGGGTAAGATAAGGTATATACTGTCGGGAAATTTCAGGAGTAAAGAATGTAATAGTGAAGTGAAAAAAAAAGTATAGTACATTAATGAGGAAGACAGACTCATGGAGGATTCAGCTAAATGTATAACACTGACATAATTAACATTCATAGGCACTAAGTTAATGCTCCTGACATTCTTACCTCTCTCTACACAAGATAAACCTAACCACTGTTTAGGAACATGCTAACTCCAGCTAATGAGGTACATGTTTCAAAATGTGCTGTCATTATTGAATAATGTATGGGTTATAGTACAAGGCAGGCTTAATTTTATTTTATTTAGAATAATTTCAGGATATTATGGGGTGGGTGGAGACACTTCACATGTTTCTTTATACCTTTTGCCCCAGTTAACCTAGCAGTTGATAGGAGCAGGACCTGAGTGTTAATTGACGTGGGTGGTATCCTAAGAAATACATGTAGTAGTATACAGACTCCACAAATAATATTGGGCTACTGCCAAATTGCAGAAGAATTTTTAGTATGGGCCTACTGCCCATACTTGGCATGTTCTTTTCAAATCCAACCCCATCTTATTTTGAAACTTTCCAAGGAATTAGTTTAACCCTTTCAGAGTCAACAGGCCCTCTCCTAAACTTGTTCTCAGGGTTGGAAATTTTTCGGGGGGGGGGGGGGGGATCTGTGAAATGATAGAGAATCTTTTCTCGGTCATAATGACACCAAAAGTATGAAATTTGATGGAAAACTTGTGGAATTATGCTCTTGCAAAGTTAGCGGTCTCAATGATGTTTACACATCGGCGATTTCACCCATTTTGAGTCCTATTTTCAGCCAATTCCAATGTACCAGTCGACAAAAATCATAACAATTTCGCTAGAACTCCATTTTTTTCTATTGAATGAGTACAAGAAACCACCCATTTACCGATTTCAACTATCCAGTAAAGTGGCCAGAAATTGGCAATTTTGCGAATTTCACACAAATTTCAAAAAATGCCAATTTCCAAATAGGGTCCAGAATAAACAAGACAGACATTCCGGGCACTAAAATAACATTTTTTCTGTTCATTAGTCACGTCCCCAGGCCTCTCTTACATTTCTTTTGCTTTCCACTTCGAATTTTTATTCTCACAAAAAAATAAAAGATTTACTGTTATGCAGATTGCTGCATTAGTGTAGAAATTGTATAAATAATATCAGCGCACTTGTGAAAGAATATTAGACTCACCAGTTGACGTGTATTGAACGCGTGGCAAGATTTGTTTACTTTTGAACTTTGGCAAAAATCAAACATTTCTGCTACTTTGAGCTCAATTTCAAGGTACTTTTCATTGTGAAATCAATCAATATCATCTCAATTTCTGTAATATGTCTTCCATTCTATAAAATGAGACCAGGAAAACTAGAATACAACTATAAATAGCATACGAAAATACACTGCAAAGTCACTGTTTTAAAGCAAAAACATGGTCGGAATTTTTTTTTTCTCATTATGCACTGTGTGCTGCAGGATTTTTTTTTATACTGTGCACACTGACCACATAGACCCATTCTTTCATATCTAGGCCTACCAGCTTTCTCTCGCTAGATTTGAAGGCACTATAATTTATGCATACTAGTACGGCACCAACCCTGAAAGGGTTAAACTCTGCAAACGTAGATCTATGTTCACGTGCATAGCGTTCCGACCTTGATTTTCCTCATTTGAAAGCATGTAAAAAAAATGTAGATCTACGTTCGGAGTCCCTCGCACGTAGACGTAGATCTACGTTTGAACAGTTTAAGGGTTAAATAACCCTACCAAGTTTCCCATGCTGTGAGGGTCTTACTGAAACCTAACCCTTCTGTCGTGTATATTTGTCTAGCTTATTTTTAAAGCTACCCAAGGCTTCAGCTTCATTGACCCTACTTGAAAGATTTCTCCATTCATAAACAACAACTCTATTGCTGAACCAATACTTTCCTACATCCTTTCTAAATCTAAATTTATAAAGTTTAAATTCATTATTTTCAGTTGTCATGATTATATATCCTTAGTACTTGATTTATATTGCCTTTATTTATGCCCATCTTTTAGTTGTATACATCAGCCATGTCTCCCCTCATTCTGTGACTTTCAAGAGTAGATTCAATGCTTCCAATCTGAACTCACATAAAAGATTCCTTACACAGTGAACCAATCTTGTTATTCTTCTCTGTATATTCTGTATATCCATTCTAGTATGGAGACCAGAACTGGGCTGCATAATCTAAGTGAGGTCTTACTGATGATATATAGAGGTCTTACTAATGATGAATACATCTGTAGTATAACCTCTGGGCTCCTGTTACTTATACGGTGGTACCTTGACTTATGAGTCCCCTAACTTATGAGTTTTCCTAGTTACGAGCCGTCGCTCGCTTGATTTTTTGCGTTGAGTTGCGAGCCAAAATCTGAGTTACGAGTAAGCTTCAGATACACCACCAATCACAGGAGATACCGAGGAAATATCAAAAACCTCGATAATAACCAATATGTAACATCCTTTCAATTTTGATACCACTGAATGTCATCCTGTCAGAATGTTCTATAACATGTGCCCTAAGTAAAGAGAAACAATTCTAGAACATGTAATACGTGTTCTGCAGGCTGGCTGGTTGGGTGGCTGATTTTCTTTGGCTGTCTATCTCTGTCTGTCTCTCTCTCTCTCTATCTCACAGGTACACACAAATACAGTTATACATAGTGTAAATTACCTAGGATAACCCAAAAAAATCTATGCTTGTAGATATAAGGCATAATAAGCATGATTGGTAAGTAATACACATTTTCCCTTGTTCAGGAATCAGATGTGACGACTCTGCATTGTGCGTAATACCTGTTGGTTCATGAGCGACTCTCTCTGAGACAGAGACAAGTAGAGAGACAGGAAGACAAACACACAGACAGAAACACAGATAAGCAGAGACAGAGATAAACATAGACAGAGCTAGACAGACAAACAGACAGACAGATAGACAGAAACAGATACATGTTTATGTGTAACAGTGAAAAATAGTCAAGGCAGTGCACAGTCATCAAATGTCACTCCACTGCTGCACTGTCAGCAGTGGAGTGACACTCATCTTACACTGTGCTTCAAGGAGTTTTATATATACTCCAGCATTTCTAAAACATTGCTGGGACCTGGCAAAAAAGGCAAAAATAATTTCTTATTTATAAATACATTTTTCTTATTTAAAAACCCAAAGCAAAAAAACTGGGGTGGTTTTTTGGGGGCTGGAGTGGATTAATGGCATTTCAGTTAATTTCAGTGAGGAAAATTGATTTGATATACGAGCAAATTGAGTTACAAGCTCGGCCATCGAACAAATTAAACTCGTAAGTCAAGGTACCACTGTACCTTATAAATCCAATAATCTGTTACCATTATTACACACAAAGATATTGTTGTCTTGGCTTCAGGTTACTGCTTACCATCACACCTAAGCCCTTTTCATATTCTGCTTGATCATATTCTATGACTCGCAAAATCATAACACAGTTGCAAACAAATCAGGGAATGGGTGGGGTTTGAACCCATGGCAAGTGAGTCCTGAAACTCTCAGGCCAATGTTTTGACACACTGGCCTGTGAGTTGTATGACTCAAGGACTAACCTGCCATGTTTTCAAACCCCACCCATTCCCTGATTCATTTGTAATTGTGTTATTAGGATTTTGTGAGATGATGGCAGCTTTGAGGGGACTTGAATTGAAGTGCACCACAGCCACACTAGTATGGGATTCATCATATTCTATATTACTTAGTTAAGTGTCAAGGTTATTTACATTCCTAAGAATTAAAACTTTATAATTACTTACACTGAACTGCATCTGCCTTTTTTTTTTTTAGATCACTACATTACCTTGTCTATATTTTCCTGAATTTCAGTGGTATCTTCCCCTGAACCTATTACAGTATTTGGATTGTTTTTTGTCATTCAGTGAATCTACTTATGTCACTAGTTATTCCCTCACCAAGGTTATTTATATAAATTATGTACAACAATGGGCCTACAATTTATTCTTGTGGAATGCCACATATGAATGGTCACATTCAGATTTTACTCAATTTATGCAGATACTTTGTTATCTATGCCAACCTTGCCTTGTTATTTGATTCTGGATTCTGGTCAAGGAATTCCAATCAATTTGTCTAAAATTATATTCTTTACGATAATTTCATTTTCTTGTCTTGGATCCAAGCCTTCACGTTTTCATCCCAGAGTAGTTGTCCTTTGTTGTTTTCTAAGTTTAGGGGTCAGTATTGTATGCCTAAAATCAAATTTTAATTTTCTCTCAAAAATTTGCAACCATACAGATTCAGTTTCAGACTTTATATAATTTCTGACACAGAAGTTCAAGTTTTCTCTGGCATACTTCTTTCTTGTTGTTTTTATCAGTGTTGAATAATGTAAATTTTGACTTAGATATAAAAGACTGGATCTGTACAGTGAGTATGCATAGTATAAGAACAAAATCCCAACCCACACAGTGCATTAAGGAAAAAGCAGAACTCGGACCTTGTGCTTGATTTAAAACTGCAATTTTTGAGGTGTTTTCTCGGATGGCTTTTATGATTTTTATTGGCTGTTACTTGGTATATTTTATTTTCCGAGAAAGAGGGTAAATCTTTGATTTTTTGTATAAATATGAATTCAGAATGAAAAGCAAACTGTAATATAGGAGAGACCAGGAAACATGATTAATGACAAGAGGAAACATTGTTTTAGTGCCTGGAATGTCTACATTGTTTATTTTGGACTCTGTTTTTAAATTGTATTTTTTTTTTAATTTTGTGTAAAATAGGGTAGTTGTCAGTTGAATGGGCAGTTTGTGTGCTCAGTCAATAGAATGAAAGGCATAATAGCAAAAGAAGTAAGAATTTAGTCAAATGGGACTCAAAGTTGGCAAAATTGGCGCTGCATAAATTGCGCCCAAACTGCTAACATTGCGCCTGTATATTTCCATAAGTTATCCATCAAATTTCATACCTTTAGTGTCATTACCTCCAGAAAAAGATTCTCTACCATTTCAGAAGAATTTTTCTTTTCATAAAGTGGACACTGAGAGCAACATTAACATCAGGGGATTGGGCAGTGAAAGGTTAAGTTGATTTCCAATAAAGAAAGTAGGGAAGACTAAAAATTATGCTTTGGTGCTTAGTTTCCCAATTGTGGAGGCAAAATAGGAGGATGGGGTGTCTGTGGCTTCCTGTTTTCTCACTGATGCTGGTTTTGTGGTCTTTGAATCAATCAAGATGCTGCCTAAGATTACTGTAATTGGTCTTTCACTTTCTTGTTCTGTTGATGGAATTGTTTCTGATATTCATGCTCATCATCCTCAAATCAAAGACCTACATGAGAACAGTCATGTTCTTAACTTTTGTTTCTCAAAATTTATGATAGCAGGTTGGCTGTACTGAAGGCTTTTGTTATCTGAAATGTTGTCAGTAAAAATGGACACTATATGGGTTGGCTTGACTAGGTGTAGGTTTGTAGCAGGTTTTGGGTGACTCATTGCTGTCATTGGCAGGGCTTTAGTCATACCACATTTTGTGGTGGTGATCATGAGTATAGAAAATGTGATAATAAATTATCTCCCATTTTGCTTTAGTTGTTCCTCTAGAGATTCTCCCTGAAGCACAATTCACTGCTTTGTATCTTGCTCACTCTCCCAAGACATTGTCATAACATCACAAATTAATGGAGAATACAATCTTTACAGCCTCAAAAGCTTCCAAAGTTCTCCTCAGGTTCTGCAAAACCTTTGAAGGTAGGATAATTGCATATCAGTTTTCTCTTGATATGTTATATTTGATGGAAATATGGCTGTTTAGAGTCTGGTACCAGTGGTTGCAGCTGCTCTCCTCAGATCTTTTTTTATTTATCACATTCCAAAGTTAGTTGCTCTTTGGGTGGTGGAGGGAGTCAATTATTTTTCATTTTGTCAAGTGTACATCATATCTTAACTGGTCAGCCTGTCATGTCATCAGCAGATTGTGAGGCTGATGGTTGTGTATCATCATGGCTGAGAATCCTTTTCTTTATTTATTTGGATTATTCATTGAATCCTTAGCAAGAAGAACGGTCATTCTGTTGTGTGTGATAATTTTAACTACTGGGTTTATTGTCCACAATTTTTTAGTTTTTAGTTTAATATCTTCATTATGCACCCCATACCCATCCTGTGGTGGTAGTCAGAGGATTACAGAGGTACATAATGGGTTGAGGGACTGGGCCCCAAAGTTTTGATAGCTGAACAAGGTACATAGGTAATGAGCTCCAGGTAATGAACCACAGTCATGCAAGTTCTTGGAATTAATGGATTTGAAAAATTTCGAGAATAATGTGTTATCACCCACCCACCCACATTGGAGGTTGTGTATTGGACTTCGTTTTGTCTTCTGCCAATTTTCAGAACATTAAAGATGTTTAGGTAATACCTCTTTACAGTGTATTCTGATCAGTGTCATTACTTTTAGTCTTAATATTTTGGTGCTGTGCCTTTGTGAGCGCATATTATATTTTCATAATTATAGAAATCTGGATCTGGATCAGGGTGGCGTGACAGTAAGAGATGCCTTGGGCAAGGATATGTCTACATTGTCTGTTAACCAGTTATCAAATATTTATTACAGGGTATTTGTGCCTGTGACTAGTAAGTTCTGTCTTTTGATTACCAGAAGGATCTCGATATGTGATTTTGCCCCTTGGTATGATTCTTCTGTTTCTCAGTGCATAGGTCTTTTAGAAGTGCCAAGTGTTGCTGGAATAGATCATGGTTTCATTATATAGAAGCCTGTACAGTGTCACAAATAGGGTATTGGCTTGTAAGAGGGAATACTGTACACGTATTAAAGAAAAATTGAATCCTAGCACCAGACGAATAGTAAGACTTGAAACTTGTCAAAGGTACATCAGAGGTGTGGTAATCAATTTTTGTTCACCCATCTCAGTGACCTACTTGGCTGTGCATCTGAATCTGCTTTGTCTACATTTGTTTCTGCTTTTCAGCTGGCTTTGGCTTTCCTTGATTGTTTTTGTTAGAAAACAGACTATTCACTGGATTTGGATTCATCTGAACTGGTTGCAGAATTCTTTGTGACTGCTGCAGCTTGTCGATACTTTTTCTCAGTTTGCTCCAGTTGACAAGGAGGGAGTTCTGGAGTATGTCAGAGGTTCTAATAAGATATACTGTGCACTTCATCCTATAACTGTTTCAAAGAGCTTGCTCACATATGAATATGTTGTTTCTTTTGTAACCGTGTTGATTAGTTGTTTTCAAAGTGGATATTTTCCACAGTCGTTGAAGGGGGTCTTGGTTTGTTTCCTCCTCAAGAAGCCTTCCTTTGATTCAGAAAACAAATCAAAGTATCATTCTATTTAAATTTTTTCTTCCTTTCTAAACTTACTGAACATGCTTTTTCTAGATCATTCTTTTTCTGCATCAGTCATGTTTTACTGTGTGTTTATTCTATGTATTGACCATTTCATTCAACTGAGATGACTGGAAAGTTTACAATGATTGGGTACTCATTGCTTCTTTAGGAAGTACATCACTGGTAATTGTTGAACCTCTCTGCTGCATTTGACGCCATTGACCATGGATTACTGACAAGTGATCTTTTTTGGCTGTGGACTTAGTAATTCTGTATCTAAGCTGTCTTCTTTGTTCTTTGGTGTTTGCCAGTGTTCTGTTCTTGGACTAGCATTGTATGCTGTTGATGTTAGTGGCTTAGTATTATTATTGAATGCCCATGGGGGTGATCATTTTTATGCTGATGATATACATGTATAGGTCTGCATCTGAGTTTTGAATGTAGAAAATGCAAAACTGTGATTTTTGTTCTTTTTTGCATGATGTTTGAACTGGGATAGCAGATAACAAATTGAAACTAATTGAGAGTAAGAAATACATTTTGATTATCAGGGGGAAATCTCAGGGAAATAGAGATTAGAGATTTTTGTTACCTTAGATTGAGGTGCTGTAAGTTTGCAGCTTGTTGGATCAGTATCTACCTGGATTCTTCATTGTCATTTTTTGGGCATATTAACGAAATTGTTAAATCTTGATAATTATCATATTTGTAATTTCTTTGTAGTCATATAAGACTTTGATATGGAGAGTATCTTGGTTCTCATCCACACACATGTTTCCTCTCAAATTGCAGTTGTTGCCTTGTGAGTTTGCTTTATTGCTTACTGAAAACTCTTCAGTCTGTACTGAATTGTGCAGGTAGACTGGTATTTTTGCTTCTGCTTAGAGTTCTCACTAGTCCCTAATTGTATGACCTGCATTGGCTCTCTATTGAAACAAGAATTAAATTTAAAATCTGTATTATGATTTGAAGCTATTAATCCTTACACTATCTCCCATGCAGATCTGTGTTATTGAGGCCAAGGTTGCCTACTGCTACAGTTTCTTGTTCAGAAACTGCGGCAGTAGGTGCCTTGGAGACTTCATGGTCTGCGGAACTCCCTGAAGTTTTTTTTTTTTTTTTTTTTTTTTTTTACACATTCTCTACACTTTGCTGGTCACCACGTGTGAGCACAGATGTAACATCTCTGAGCCACGAAGTATAGTGCAGTTAGAAAGTGATCATCATATCTCAAACAAGAGGGTATTTGGTCATCAGTATGGCACTGCATGTGTTTTGCTGGTGTTGTGACCTGGTGTTTCTGTATTTGTGGAATGACAGGCAAGTAGAAGTGACCATATGGGAGTCTGTTCCCAGTCTTAACTTGGTACATAATAAACCTCTGCATGGGTGGGGTTAGAGCCCATGGCAAGTGAGTTGTAAAACTCCAGGCCAGTGTATATAAATATACCTAGTTGGGTGAAGCTTTTTTGTAGCCAGCTGGCCCAGTGGCTTATGCTCTGGATTGTTTGCAATCATATTATTACGATTTCGCAAGTCACGATACATATTGTGTGCATTCAGCACTGCATTGCTAACAAGATGAAAAAAAAAAAAAACATATATTGCTGTAACTCCTCTGGATATATTCAACAACCCAATTTGCATGTCACATTTTCTACCAAATGAATATTGCTCGTGTAATCATTGACATCAGTTGGTTTCACAATAGGTTCATTAATTTTTCTGTTCACCTTTCCTGTGTCATTTCATTCTCGTGAACAGATGTCATCAATGGCACATCATGTTTATACGCGCTGTACCTCAAACATTGTCGTGTCCATTCGCTGGAAATCCCAGAGTAAAGGGCTTATGTACCAGTTATGAGTGTATAACATATGCCCCTTACCATCATTTTGTTCATCACATCATCCAAGATTCCTAATGATTTCCTGGTATCTTCCAGTGGTTTCTTTCCTGTGTACACAATTAGATCTAATACCAAGGTTGGTAGACAGCAACCACCCAGGGAGGTACTACCGTCCTGCCAAGTGAGTGTAAAACGAAAGCCTGTGATTGTTTTACATGATGGTAGGATTGCTGGTGTCTTTTGTCTGTCTCATAAATATGCAAGATTACAGGCATGTCTTGCTACTTCTACTTACACTTAGGTCACACTATACATACATGTACACATTTATTTATACACACTCATCTGAGTTTTCTTTGATTTTTATCTTAATAGTTCTTGGTCTTATTAATTTTCCTTTTATATCCATGGGGAAGTGGGAAAAAGAATCTTTCCTCCGTAAGCCATGCGTGTTGTAAAAGTCAACTAAAATGCCGGGAACAATGGGCTAGTAACCCCCTTTTCCTGTAAAGATTACTTAAAAAGAATAAAAAGAAGAAAATTGTCAAAGTGGGAAGTCTGAATGTGCGTGGATGTTGTGCAGATGATAAGAAAGAGATGATTGTGGATGTTATGAATGAGAAGAAGCTGGATGTCCTGGCTTTTAAGTGAAACAAAAACTGAAGGGGGTGGGAGAGTTTCAGTGGAGAGGAATAAATGGGATTAGGTCAGGGGTTTTCAAATAGAGTTAGAGCTAAAGAAGGAGTAGCAATAATGTTGAAGGTAACCCTAGGGCGGGAAAAAAAGAGGGACTACAAAGGAAATAAATTCAAGGATTTGGGATAAAAAAAAAGTTTGGGATGTAAAAAAAGTTTTTTAAATTTTAATAAGCTGAAAATGCCCCTGGGGGAAGAGAGAAGTGTAGAGGAGAGAGAGAAAATTTTGGGGAAAAATGTTGAGTAAAATGGGGGGGGGAGGTTTTTTTTAAAACCCAATGTGAAGAGTAATGGGGGTTGGGGTTTTAAATGTTTAAAGGGGGTTTAAAAAATGTTATGGGGGGAAAAGTAGAAAAGGAAAATTTTGGGGGGTGCCGGGGGTTTAAATGAAAATGGGGAGCCTTTAATTGAGCTATGTTTTAGAAAAAAAAATTTGGTAATAAGAAAATTCAAATTTTTTAAAAAAAGAGGATAAAAAAAAATTATAAAAGGGTTTATGATGTGCACGTAATGAAAGTATTTTAAATTGTTTTATGTTTTGGGTGGAAAAAAAGGTTTTATGGGTAGGTTTCCCAGGGATTTTTACATGTTTATAAAAAGGGGCAACTGATATATGGACCATTATTTAGTTTTTTAAAAAGGCTACAGTTAGAGAAAGAGGTAGAGGGGAAAAGGGGAAGGGTGGCAACAAAAGTAAGAGGGATTTGAAAGTGTATAAACTAAGGGAGGGGGAAAAGTTGGGGTGAGATATAAGCATTTAATTGGGAAAAAAAGGGTGGGCTAGTGCAAAGATGAGTGGGGGGGGGGTTGAAGGGGGTTTGGGAATAGTTTTTAAAAAAACGTATTGAATTTTGGGGAGAAGTTTTTGGTTTTTAGGAAGGGTGGGTGAGGAGGGGGAAAAAGGAGTGATTGGTGGAATGATAAGTAAAGGGGGTTTATAAAAAAAAAAAAAGGTTTGCCCTTTTGAAGGTTTTTTTCAAAAAGAAATGTTATAAGAAGAAACAGAGTTTATGGAGAAATTTAAAAAAAAGGTAAAGAGGGGTGGTGAGAGAGTGCAAAAGGAAAAGCAGATGATAGAGTTTGGGGAGGCAAATGTCAAAAAATTTTAATGAAAATAAGGAAAAAAAATTTTTGGAAATGAGTTTAAAAAAGTTAAGAAAAACCTAGGGAAAATAAAGGATTTGTCGTTTTAAAAAAAGGTAGGGGAGGGTTTGTAGATTGGGGGGATGGGGGTTTGGGTTTGAAAGGCGAGAATATTTTGAAGGGGAAAATTTTTTAAAGTTTTAAGGGAAAAAACAGAGGCAGTAAATTTTATGCATGGGCAGGGAGGTAAAACCATCTTTTTTGGAATGAAGAAAAAAGCGAATGTAAATTGGGGGGAGGTTTCGTGAGGCTTACTAAAATGAAAAGGGGGGTAAAGCAGCTGGAACTGTTTGGGGTCAAGACAAAATGTTAAAAGAAAGGGGGGGGTAAGTGTTGGAATGGTTTTGGTTTCTTTTTTTTAATAAATGTAAAAAAGAGGGGGGAAAGGGAAACCCAGGGGTTGGCGGGAAAAAATTAAGGGCCCTTTATATAAAAAAAGGGGAAAAAGGGCAAAAGAGATGTTTTAAAAAATTTTAGAGGAAAAAACTTTTTGAGTAATACCAGGAAAAGTGTATGGTAGGGTTATAATTGAAAGAATTAGAGGTAAGACAGAATGTAGGATTGGGGATGAGCAAGGAGGTTTCAGAGTGGGTAGGGGATTGTAGATCAAGTGTTTACATTGAAGCATATATGTGAACAGTATTTAGATAAAGGTAGGGAAGTTTTATTGCATTTATGGTTTTAAGAAAAGGCATATGATAGAGTGGATAGAGGACAATGTGGCAGATGTTGCAAGTATATGGAATAGGTGGGTAAGTTATTAAATGCTGTAAAGAGTTTTTATGAGGATAGTGAGGCTCAGGTTAGGGTGTGTAGAAGAGAGGGGGACTACTTCCCGGTAAAAGTAGGTCTTAGACAGGGATGTGTAATGTCACCATGGTTTTTTAATATATTTATAGATGGGGTTGTAAAGGAAGTAAATGCTAGGGTGTTCGGGAGAGGGTGGGATTAAATTTTGGGGAATCAAATTCAAAATGGGAATTGACACAGTTACTTTTTGCTGATGATACTGTGCTTATGGGAGATTCTAAAGAAAAATTGCAAAGGTTAGTGGATGATTTTGGGGAAATTTGGTGTGTAAAGGTAGAAAGTTGAAAGTGAACATAGAAAAGAGTAAGGTGATGAGGGTGTCAAATGATTTAGATAAAGAAAAATTGGATATCAAATTGGGGAGGAGAGTATGGAAGAAGTGAATGTTTTCAGATACTTGGGAGTTGACGTGTCGGCGGATGGATTTATGAAGGATGAGGTTAATCATAGAATTGATGAGGGAAAAAAGGTGAGTGGTGCTTTGAGGTATATGTGGAGTCAAAAAACGTTATCTATGGAGGCAAAGAAGGGAATGTATGAAAGTATAGTAGTACCAACACTCTTATATGGGTGTGAAGCTTGGGGTGGTAAATGCAGTAGCGAGGAGACGGTTGGAGGCAGTGGAGATGTCCTGTTTAAGGGCAATGTGTGGTGTAAATATTTTACAGAAAATTCGGAGTGTGGAAATTAGGAGAAGGTGTGGAGTTAATAAAAAGTATTAGTCAGAGGGCAGAAGAGGGGTTGTTGAGGTGGTTTGGTCATTTAGAGAGAATGGATCAAAGTAGAATGACATGGAAAGCATATAATCTATAGGGGAAGGAAGGCGGGGTGGGGGTCGTCCTCGAAAGGGTTGGAGAGGGGGGGTAAAGGAGGTTTTGTGGGCAAGGGGCTTGGACTTCCAGCAAGCGTGCGTGAGCGTGTTAGATAGGAGTGAATGGAGACGAATGGTACTTGGGACCTGACGATCTGTTGGAGTGTGAGCAGGGTAATATTTAGTGAAGGGATTCAGGGAAACCGGTTATTTTCATATAGTCGGACTTGAGTCCTGGAAATGGGAAGTACAATGCCTGCACTTTAAAGGAGGGGTTTTGGGATATTGGCAGTTTGGAGGGATATGTTGTGTATCTTCATATGTGTATGCTTCTAGACTGTTGTATTCTGAGCACCTCTGCAAAAACAGTGATAATGTGCGAGTGTGGTGAAAGTGTTGAATGATGATGAAAGTATTTTCTTTTTGGGGATTTTCTTTCTTTTTTGGGTCACCCTGCCTCGGTGGGAGACGGCCGACTTGTTGAAAAAAAAAAAAAAAAAAAAAAAAAAACCAAGCTTCTTTCACAATATATTTTCAGGTACAAAAGAACATCCCTAATCTTGCATAACATGTTCCTGTTGGGGTTACACTTGTCTGGAAAGTACATACAGGGATAAGATCAGCAAATGCATGGGTACATATTAGGCAGTCTGTATCATCACATTGGGTCCCACAATCTGTCATGTCTCTTGTGGATAACCTTAGGCACACTACCAGAGTACAATGCTGTACATATTGACACCTTTTGGGCAGATTATCATCAGGATCATCACTTATTTGATCATTGGTTGCTAGGATCAAGTTATCATGACTGTCATCAGTACCACTCACTTCTGTGCCCAAGCCATGGGAGAATTTTAGATTTTTCTTACGATGTGGACTTGTGATCATGTTGATGCCTGAGGTAGATGGTTTGGGGTCATCAGAGTTTTCAGTGCTATTCTTGGCATTTCCACCTGTCACTTTGTCCTCAGAACTGTTCAACTCGTTTCTAGAAATTATATTTTCATTTTTAGAACTGTTACTGTTGAAGAGTAATTGTTTCATTTGCCTGGGAGTAAGAGTATCCTGTCTGTGTGCCATGATGAACAATGGTGAATAAGATGGCATTCCCATGATGCATTGCAGCAACCCTGATTGTTTTTGTACTGTGCATACCGACCACACAGACCCATTTTCTTATACCTAGGCCTGTCATGCTAAATTGACTCAATCTTGTCCATTTCACTATGGCACCAAAAAAAGTCCATAAAATCATGAAACCCACACTAGAAAGCACCCTTAAGTTGCTGTTTTAACCCAACACAAGGTTAAGGGTTTAATGTTCCCATCATATACTGCATGGGGGCAAGATATGTTTTATATTGCATACCCTTGCTTCACAGACCCATTCTCTCATATCTAGGCATAAATTTGCTACTCACAGCAAATATGAAGGCACTGTAATTTATGTATACAGTTCTATGGCACTGTCATTTATGTGTAGTTCTATGGCACTGACACTTATGGCACTGACGTAGATCTATGTAGCCACCAGTTTACCAGTTCACAAACCCTAGTATCTTGCTGATATGCTTGTACCTTTTTACATTACTCTCAGTAAGGTTTCTATGAATTGCTGTAGACCTTTCCAGACTGGTTAAACTGTTTGTTGTTGGTGAAAAATCATTTGCAGAATGATCCTTATCTCATGTAGCTCCCAGACTGTATAACAGGTTACTAGTGTCTTGTTAAGAGTTGGGAATCAGTTTATTCTTTTAAATCTCAGTTGAAAGCACATCTCTTTTCTAGAGATTATGATCCTGATGATCATATTGTGACTCTTGTATATAAACTTTAATATTCTTATATATTTTTAATCGTAGTTGTTTGATGTTTGGTGTGTGAGCATTTGTGAATTTCTTTAAAGAACCTAAAGAATGATAAAATCCCAAAATATTTTTATTATTAAATTATTATTAGGCACCATGTACACAATGATTTTTGTTCATTATTGTGTTTTTGGGCAAGAATTAGCTGTATAGTCCTTGTGGCTTAGCGCTTCTTTTTGATTATAATAATAATAATAATGGGCAAGAATTATAATTTCCCCCAACCCTGTTATTCATTAAAGCAACCCCATGTCATCAGTCCATCAGGACTATGACTTGATGCCTACAACCACAATCAGGCAAGTTTGGTGAGTACATTGTATAGGTGTGTAGGTCAGGGGGAATAGTGACTGACAGATGATAGACATCATCCTTGACATGCACACAATTAAATGGGGACTTGTCACTACACACAACTTTAATCGAAACTTCAGTAGTGCAGTATTCGTATTGTTTTGCAAATGAGTCATTTGCAAAACAAAATGAAGAGGTTTCCTGGCAGGAGTTCAAGATATCATCCCAGTTTTTTCAAGAGATGATACTTTGTTTTTTTTGTGATGTGTCTCAGTATATCAGGATGGTTTTCTCTAGTCTGCTATTAATATCTAAGGATGTTTCAGTACTTTCCTCTTTAGAAGGTTTTCAATAACATTTGAAATCAATCTAAAATGTCCAGGTTTTGGTTTCTTAAGAGGAGGGGTGTCAGGGGGCACATCAAAAGCAGTAGCAATGAGATGATTAATGGTGGATTTCCCACAACTATCATGAATACAGATCTCACTTGTGAGCACTTTTTAATGTGCCCATGCAAGAATGCAGGCCTTTACTTCAACAGTGAGTTCATTCTTAACTATCTTCAACCTTTTCTATAGAAAATAACAGATCTGAGAGTCACTGGGGTCAAACAAGACAAAATAGCTCTCTGACTTGTAAAATGTGACTGTCCCTACTCAGTCTCTGAAAGCTACTGGTGGTGGTAGAATCTGGTAGTGAGAATAACCAGACACTAGAGGGGTTTATAGGAGTCATCAGATAAGCTGTCAGGAAATAATTACAGGAGTGAAATTCAAATAATGGAGAGCCATTTTTCAGACTGTTGCATAGGCATGCAAAATTTGAAATGTGCTTAGCCTGAAAATTCAAGAGTGAAAAAGAAAAATTTACGTATTTTGGTCGCTGCATGATCCAAGAAAGATATCCCCCATATCCCATAAGCCTAACCCCATCTACCTCAATGCATGCAAAAGTACTCTACAGTACTGAATTTGCAAAACAAAATTTTTTTTCTGACCATCGGTAGGTAGAATTAATACTGAAGATGGGACATCACGAGCTTAACATTGTTGGTTTAATAGGTTTAAAACCTATTGACTACACAAGGGTCATTAAGGTTGCATGTTACTTGCATAAACCCAATCAAGGATGCACTAATTCCTAAACTTGGTGCTAAAGTGAATTCTAAGTATACATGCCCTTAGAGATGCATAATTCTCAGTGTATATTACCTTTGAGCCTACTCTTCTCCTGTAGCCACAAATAGGTTATTAACATGAATAGATCTCTAGCCACAAATAGGTTATTAACATAAGTAGATCTTTGTTCCTGTATACAAATAAATAGAAATTTCCTAACCTTAAGTAGCACTTCACAAGAGCATGTACAAATCACTGGGTCTGTAATGGTATAAATCAGGGGATCCACTAAGTTACATTTATCTACAGGGAGAGCAACAGTTTGTAAGAAAAGCAGCCATCTATCTCTTAAGGCTCCTTGCTTGCCATTTCTCCACACTTTCAGCAGGGAAACCTCTGTGAAGTGAAGGTTTCCCAGTTTCCAGCCAATGTGAATCTGGAAGACTATGTAATGTATCATATTAATGTAGTTTTTAGAGGGCTGTTTCCATGAACCTTTTATATAGTAAGACCAAATAAAGTATGGGTGGGTGGGAATGATGTGGTTCAGGGGAGGCCATTTGAACTGTGAGTCTCAGCATTTCTGGCAAGACAGATATTAAGTAAGTGATGATGAATGCATTTCCTTCTTTAGGTCACCCTCCATTGGTTGGAAACTCATTTGATAAAAAATATAAAAATAAAGAAATAACTGACTTTATGGTTAAATTTTTGTTCTAAATTATTTTCTATTGCTATTGTATCTCTGCAGTTTTTTTTAAAACAGCTGAATTATTAGTGTTGTAACTGAAATGATGTGTCTGCCTGTTTTTGTTACTATGGAGTTTTAAGTAGCTACACCTTTTAAGTTAATTTTTTATTTTAGAATACAGTAGGACCCCCGTATCTGTGGGGGCCAAGTTCCAAACACCTGCCACGGATATTGAAACCGCAGATAGTAATGAACCCTATATATAAGTCGTTTTTCAGTTACATACATACCTATGATGAAGTTTAATTAATAAATTACTCACAATATGATGAAGTTTAATTGATAAATTACGCACAATGACTGGAGAATTGGCAGTTTTTCAATGACATTAAGCACGGCTTTTCTTAGGCTTTGAAGTACTTCTAGCATCACTACTTTTGCACTCTGAGGCCATTATTAAGCAAAAGTAAGGGTTATTTTCTGGCCACCATAAACCATGGATAACAGACCCACAGATACGGGGGTTCTACTGTATAACTTCATACGCATTATTGGAACACAAGGAAATCCTATCATACATTGTCCCTATGCCAGTAACTGTGGTGATGTAAATGAGATAGTATGTTAAATAGTGTTGGTCAACATCCATGGTCCAAGACTATTCACCCAGCAATCAGAAACATTGCCAGAACAAACACACAATTTATCAAGAGGAAACTGGATTACTACTTTTCCCAAGTACCAGATCACTCGAGTTGTGATGGATATGTTGGCCAGTGGGCTGCCAATAGCAACAACCTGGTTGAACAGGCAATCAACAGAAAAGCCTAACCCCAGGGTAGGCTGTGATGATAGAAAAGTTCACAAAACCAGTCACAGGTACTCCCTTGATAGTAGGTCAGAGGTAGATAAAAGGCACTGATAGGAATACCTTACTATTGATGGAATATCATCTACCTTTTTCCATAAAAAAGTCAGTCAGTCAGTAATATGAATGATATTTCATCTTCCTTGACAATTCAATAACAAGTTAAATTCTAATAAGGGCAAGAGAAGTCAATCTCTTGAATGATTCTCCTACACCTCTACTTCATTTCTACCAGTGTATTCAGAAGCATTCCTGTGCACTGTCAGTGCTTTCTTAGAAAATATTACTCTTATGGTCAGGGCTTAGTAAGGATTAAGGGTGCTCTTTGTACCTGTGAACAACACTTCAGTAAAGAACGGGTCTTTGAATTGCAAGTACATTAGCCAAGTAATATTTATGGAATTTTGTGTGCTGGTATTTCTAGTCATTTGTCCAGGAATTCTAAGAATTCTTGTATATACTGTACTATATATGCATAGATAGGAATTAGAATAGGATAGAGGCACAAAAAAATTAATACAGTATTGATAAATTAGATTAATAACCATGGAACAGTTGTGGGTTTGAACTTGCCATGGGTTCAAACCCCACCCATTCCATGGTTTGCTTGCAGTCGTGTTATGATTTCATGAGCCATAATGAAGTAGACTCTCAGGCTTTGGAGGATTAAATTATGTAACTCAGTTTGTAGTATAACATTGTGTGAATCCACTATACCAAGTTTTGTGGCATGCAGTTTTAAAGTGGCTATAGCATTTAAGTGTTAATTGAGTAGAAGTTCATTATTACATGAAATGAAGAATTGATTGGATAATATTGGCTGCTTTCACCACTGTGTTAGATAGCACTTAAAAAAAAAAAGCCACTTCTGTTTTACAATGGAAAGTTACAGATACTGTAATTGCGTCAGACCTGATTATTTCCCATTCCACTGGTGCTGTATGACCCTATATGAGTTATGCACTTCTTTGATTATAATAATAATAATAATAATTGTACTCTGAATTGAATACATGTATACTTTTCTAATATAAACTCATAATTTGTATTAGTCTGCATGAAAATTCACCTTTTTTTTTTTTTGTCCTTTGCTGTTCTTTACCATATTTTCATTTAGCCTTATTTATTTTAAAGTAGTGTACATAAAAATGTCTGTCACCGGTTTGTATGTTTTCACACCAAAGCTGGATATTTACACATTCTGAAACTGACGTTTTGTAATCACGATTAAATACAATTTATGACTTCACATCTTGTTTTGGCTTCCTTGGATCTTGTCATGCGATCATTAACATAGGTGAAGTGGACGTGGTCTTTTTTTATGCCGCACTTATGTTTCTTCGTGTGTATCATACAGCTTGTATTAGTCATTAACAAAAATGAAGAGGATGTGGTTTTTACAAACAGTAGGCACGTTTCCTTGTAAAACAGGAATTATACAGGTTGTATTTAAAGGTTTTGATTAAAAAAGATATCATGGAGAACATACTTTTTACATTAATATTGGTCACACCAAGGACAGGCTTCTAGTAAATTCTACCATTGTGGCAATGATTGTTATCTGACAATATACATAAGTAGATAAATTAAGTGGACACATTGCTTATTGGGCACCATTTTTCTCTTGTACTGTATTTTCTTTTCTGAATGGGAGAAAGAATTAGCTTGAACAACACTACAAAGCTTAACAAATCTGACTGGATGTCAAAGCCCCGACACTGGTTGCCAAATCCCTGCACAGATAATTTAAACATTTACTAATTCAAACTTGCTGCATCAGTTGCCAAATATTCAGAAATGGAAAAAAAAACTTTGAGGCTTTGATTATAAGTGAAACAAGTCACTCACAAACATTATGCTTATTGATTCAATGGTCTTGGGTAGTTGGAAAGGAAAGTTCTTTCCTTCCAATGTTTTGAGAGACCTTAAAATTAATATAAGGATGAAATGTATAGTAACATATACTTAGAAAAACAAGATGACATCTATAACCTAACAGCCCTTTAATAGGAAAGGGGTAGTGTGATGCCAGTGAAGGGGTCTTGCTCCAAGGGATTGGAGCTGCTCTCCCCTTCATTGGATCAAACCCGATTACCTCCCATTCCCCAGGTGCTGTATGATCCCCTTGTGGGTTTAGCATGTTTCCCTGATTATAACAGCATACCCTGCCCAGTAAAGCACTGGTTGATGTCACACATAATTTGCCATATACTTGGCTAGAAAACAGTAGGTTTAATGACACCTCTGAACACATTACACACAAAGAATCCATATAATAATTTGCGACCAGATAAGCAAATGCAGAAATCAAGTGTACCAAAACCATATAGTGAAGACAGCAAGTAGACAGTTATAAGCAACTTGTCCAGAGAAACAATGACCAATAACAAAGTATACACTTCAGGAGTGCTGTAAAAGCATGTATACCAATTTGCTCTTGTAAAAAAGACACTTGGTGCTGAGCAAGCCATTGTTACAGACTATGCTTGGCTCTGGGTGGAGTTGTGTAGAAGTCTGGATGAAGAATGAGCAGGTAACATAGCAGAGTTTATTGACATCATCAATCACATATTTATGAAATGAGTGGCAAGGCTGGACTGGCTGGCCGGGCACCCTGGGGTGATGCGGGACACCTGCTAAATATAACATATCACACATGTGCCCTTTTAAGTTGACAAGATCAAGAATAGTATAGTACTTGTAAACTGATAAACCTGGGAGAGACATAAATAAAATACACAATCATACTATATTTGAAGAGTATATGAAGTCCTTGAACCAGGCTGGCTTTCTTGTCCTCCTCAGCGTTCTGGCAGGCATATCAATTACTGGGTTATCATCCACCAGCTGTAGTGACTCGTCCACACATGTGGTCCCTTCTGAGGCTCACAATGGATCCATTAGCACTTGGAATACATGCAGGCTTCAGACGATGTCAATTCCTGAGTCTCAGCTGGCCACTTCCATCTGTATTGGTTTTAAGTTACCAGAATTATTATTATTATTATTATTATAATCAAGGGAGAGCGCTAATACCGGAGGATTATCACGCACTGGGAGGGGATGTGGAAGGCATTTTTGGCTTAATTCGAGGCAACTGGAGGCACAGATCCCCATCCCTTAAATCAAGAGCCCTCACCAAAAATCAAGGAACTTCCTTGAGGGGTAAGTTACAGAACATCTGACCCAATGCCCTTCATTTCCTGTTCCACAATTTGTGTGGGGTTGTGTGTCCTTATGTCATATCCACCTGGGAAGTAGGCAATAATGCTGGGTGACCAGATTATGCCTATTCTTGACCTGTGACTTCAGTTATTTGCATCTTTTTGCAGTGCTGTGCCCTCCTACATTGCTAATCCACCCTGTAGTGCTGCCTGGCCATGAAAACAATCTTGTAGCTGTTTTCCCAAATGTGTGGGTAAGATATCTGTTTAAAGGGCTTGTTGAGGTACTGCACTAATGTTTTGGATTATTATTATTATTATCAAGGGGGAAGCGCTAAACCCGGAGGATTATACAGTGCCTGGGGGGTGGATGTGGAAGGCATTCAGGCTTAATTCAGGGAACTGGAGCACAGATCCAATTCCCTAATCAAGAGAGCTCTCACCACATCAAGGAAAACTTTTTTCGAGGGGTAATGTTTGAAAAGTGTCGGTTGGTAGAAAGCCTTATTTCATATTGTTACAAATTAACATCTAGGCACACCATGCAGCCTCTGCCCACCTTACCGAGGAAAGTGGGTTGATAGCAGCCTGGCAGTGACACCACAGTGTTTGAAAAATTAAGCATTTCAGCTCTAGAGGTTGGTACTTCTGTCCATGGAAACTTTCTTGATAGCCACCCAACTCGGTGAAGTACGCCTCAGCTTTGGAATGAGGATGACTGATGAGGCAGGACTGGGCAGGAGTGACACCACCACCCAGCCTATCCATGTAGGCCATATACACTTGGCCATCAAGAAACAGGTCTGTCACTGCCTATTGAAACATGTTTTCCAGGAGTGGAATTAAGAGCAGTGGCTTCTGGTGCTGGGAGAAAGCAATCATTTCTCAAGTTTCACATGATGACTGATGGTACTACAGATCATCTTCCAGCACTGTCCAGAATACTACCTACCAAGTTCTGCATAATGTAGACTACTTCCTGGTAATCCTCATGCAGGTTGATCACTACCTGGTGCCGCAAAGACTGTGATTACGACACACACACTCTTAATAACTCATATGTGTAAAACACCAGCTCATCCACAATGGCAAACTTCTCCCTCACATTGTAGAATGTCTTGATATAGGGCTTATCTTGGGTATGACCACTGGGTTAGTCCTCTGTCCTGAGTCTGTTCATTAGCAGTAGATATTCAGGGTCAACCGTTAATACACTTGTCACCACTCGTCCACCACTCTTCCATTCTCCACTGTTAGGACTGCCATAGTGGCCACTGCTAACTTCCCATCTTGAACATGGTACAAGTTGTCCAGGGAAGCTTTCACATGGGATGATGGGGTAGGTGTCTTCTGCATGGTTCTTTTTCCCGAATGGTATTTAACATGAATATGGTACTGCAATGTCTTTTCCTTCAAGTGAAACAGCCTGGAATCTTTTCCTCCAAGTGAAACAGTCTGGAGTATTTTGGTTCAAGTGAAACAGCTTGGAATCTTTTCCTTCAAGTGAAACAACCTGGAATATTTTACTCCAAGTGAAACAGTCTGGAGTATTTTGGTTCAAGTGAAACAGCTTGGAGTCTTTTCCTTCAGGTGAAACAGCCTGGAGTCTTTTCCTCCAAGTGAAATAGCCTGGAGTCTTTTCCTCCAAATAAAACAGCCTACAATACTGTAAGCACCTCTTCTTATACCGACATAACCCACATTAGTCAACATCAGATAGTGGTACCCACACAGCACCAGATCCAAGGCATTGTGCGGCAGAATGGCATGTCGACTGTTATGCAGGAGCAGTAGTACCATGAGCCTGATGCCCTCTCTTTTTCACTCTGTGACTGCCACTGTTGGTCTAAATTTATTATAAAATTCTAGCCATTCATTTGTCATCTGTGAGATGGTGCTTTTGGAGCACTCAAACTTATCTTGCAGTTGGTCTCAGTACACTTCTTTTCCCATCGGCTTCAGGTGATCCCTGATAACCTGAAGCAGGTTTTCTCCCTGCTTTGAACTCGGGCTGCATCCTATTTGTGTTCTAGCAAATTCAGTAGGCTGGTAGTCCTACTCACTGCACCATGTGAAGAGTCTGGATAAAGAATAAGTAGGTAACATAGCAGGTAAATGGTATGGTGATACCGACTGATATCCTGTGGTTCAGGATATTTTTTTTTTTTTTGCAGGAAACGTTTCACCACGAGTGGCTTCATAGATGTGAGTTTGTTGATATCATCAGTCACGTGTTTATAATGTGGGTGACGAGTCTGGACTGGCAAGCCAGGCGCTATAGGCAATGCCGGGTGCCTGCCGTTGTATCGTATTATCTGTATGACCCTGGTGGTTTAGCGCTTAGTGTTATTATAATAATGTATTAAGTCATACAAGGAGTAATATACCATGTCTCTCTTGTATATTAAACATAATACCATGTATAGGATGTGACAAAATATATGTAAGGGAAACAGCAAACTCTCTGGATATTAAGATCCGTAAGCATAAGACGACCTGCAGCCGTGACACTAAAAACTAGTGCTTCCAACACAGTCGATGTTGGACACCTTATGAATTTCAGCGAGACCAGGTTATTAAGATTTACGACGACTCGGGTGTATATAGGCTGCCCTAATTACCGTCAGTAGCATAATCCATCAAAATCCGGGAGTTGCACAATATCCAAGTTGTTGTTCCTCCTGTTAATCTTGATCATCCTTCTTTCTCGCCGCTACCCACTACCACCCCCACTTATACAGACATTCGGCTGCGCACCCGTGCTGAATGGCCACAGGGAACACGGGCCTGGTAGGCAACGCTCTCGCTTCACACGCTGTGTCGTGGTTCGATCCCGGCAAGGGTTTGGAAATATAGGCTGTCCCGTTCACCTAGGAAGCAAGTAGGTACCTGGGTGTTTGTTGACTGGTGTTTGGGTTGCATCCCATGGGACAAGGTTGAGGACCCCGATGGAAATAAGACAGACAGCCTCGATGACCCCACTACCCTTTTTTGAGTTATTCAGGGTAACTAACCCTCCGGCGTTAAAAATCCGAACAAACTCTTTTTCTTAGAGCTTCATACCAGCGAGAACACGGCCTGAGAC